CCTGGGGAGCTGCTTCCTGCAAACAAACCGGGAAAGTACCAAAGTATTCTTTGTAGTAATAATAAGTCCACCTCCACGTCCTCCCCTTGCAGCTCCACGTTCATGTGTTGGCTTCTTGGTCCTTTTTTGCACCAGCCGCATCGGATTCACATCCATTTGATTCATCATCCCCATCCTCTCCATTATATATATTTAATTTGGAAGCATGTGTCACATCGCTGTCATGTGCTTGCGGTTTCTTTGCTTCTTTTCTTTGGCTGCTTTGGTTTTTTCTGAAGTGTTTTTTTACAGGTTTCGCTTCCACATTCTCAAGTTTGGGGCGTTTGCGTGCTGGAGTCCCATGTTCTTCTGAAGACTCTGATGTGCGAAAAGCTTTCAACGTGTGCAGAGGCTCTGTATCACCCCTATCACCATCACCACAAGGCTCCATGACAGCTGGCTTGGGCTTTGGCGTGGGCGCATGCACGGCTTGCGGCTGTTTTTGGTTTTGCTTTGGGTCTGACACATTGTTGGTATTGGTTTGAGTTTCTTTTGGTGCAGTGGCCAAGTCTTGCGAGTCTCTGGCTTGCTGGGAGCTGAATCGGCTGGGGGCGATGATTGGGTCTTGGGTGCTTTGTCGCCGTGTTTCTTCTTGTCTTCTCTTCTGTCGGGTCTGCTCACACAGCGCCTGTTGTAGTTGGGTGCCTCCGCTTGGGTTCCCCTTACTTGGGTCTGGTTTCAGATTCAGAGATTCAACTGCGCCAAACACTTCCCAAACACAGCAAGCAAAAAAACAGGCCTCTGGGTCAAAAGGCATTTGTTTTTTGCAAAGGCTCTTCTTGAAGGCCAACCTCTTCTTTCGACCATTGATCCGTTGGATTGAAGAGGCATCATCCGGCAACCGAAATGTTTCGCCTGGTTGGCGCTGAAGAAAGAAAGCGAGGACCTAATCACTCAGGCCGAGGCCAAGGAAATGGCTCCAACTTCGCCAGCTCACAAGTCTCATTGTTGCAAATCCTGGTGCTTCAAGCAACTCGTCAAAGTCATGATGATGTAACCCTTTTCCGGCTGCAATCGACCCCGAAGAATTTCCTTGAGCAAATGGTGGGCGTAAAATAAGTAAGTTTATTGATCGTATCTATACCTTGTAGCCAACGAGTGGGTTGATATTTGCAGCGATGTCGCCCTGGCCTTACTACTAGGAAAAAACAGCTACTAGTAACAAAGGGCATCGCATTCATGCGGCTCTTTGAGCACAGTGGGCGGGATACTTTGTAGGCCCCTTTCGTTCTCGAGAACTGCCACCTTCTTAGGAAAGGCGGAGAGCTATTCACAACCAACAAACACATGAACCGAATTAGCGTGAATTAGCAACTAAACGCTTTCAGCAACCACCGGTAAACATTTCCAACTGAGGTGCGATTGGCTGAATTGTCTTGACCCGGTCTCTGGTCAACCAGAACTGCTCCGCTTCAAAGCCAATCTGTTTCCCTCGCACTAAATGCCTTGCAAGGCAAACCGCAGACGTAGAGGCCAACCTGCGTAGGAACTAGTCTTGTTCTGTAAAAACTCATGACGCTCGCTTTGAAGAAACTAGTGTTCTGTAAATGCGCCACGCTGGTCAAGTCGTGCACAGGTTAAGACACATGTCACATGTTTGAAAAAGGTGGGGCAGCCAGCGCCCTTGAAGAGCATTGGTCAGCAGTAGATTCAATAAACTACAATAAACTGAGTCTGGAACAGTCAGTCATGACAGGAACCGGGGATGATAAACACCCAACAATTCTGCCAGCTGTGCTTTTTGTGCAGCTTTTCCAAACTCCAAGGTTTGGATGTCAGGGTAAAATATCAAATCATGTCGGCCTGTTGAAAAAAGTCCAAACAAGGCGGTAGCGCCACCGATGGCGCGTTATGCTGCCACAGAAATGGCGCACCGTAACGGAAAAAGGGCTGCAGTTTAAGTAGAACATGAAGTCTCACTTCCCAATATGAAGAAATGTCAGGTAAACTTGATTTATCTTGATTTATACCATTCACGTGCAAAAAACAGTGCTTCTTTTCGCGTCCAGGCGGATTTGCTGATCGGTGGCATAGACAATGAAGGCCCTAGCTTGTACTTCATGGTGGTGATCTCAGATTTGTCAACACAGTGCCCAGATTGAGGCCATGTCCGGCAAAAAAGAGATGAACACTATAGCGAATATAGCGATAGCCAAGCGTTTGGATAAATCAGTGCTGCTTGGCAGATTCTCCGCTGTGAGAGTGCCTGAGGACTACCTGGCCAGTAGCGAGAAGGTGAATAAGGCTTTCGACTTGCTTCATGCTTCTTTGCGCTGCAGGGAGGTGTTTTTCCGCAAATAGTACAAACATATTTATATTTGTATTCTTGGCCTCGCTATGCTTTGCTTGCTGTATCGAGGCGGCTCATGGCTACGGGGCCATGTTCACCCTAGGTCTCATGGCCCAGTCCTCAGAATCAACGGCTGACCATTCGCGACAAGCTAGCATGCGGTCTCGCACCACTAGGACCGTTTTTCTTAAGGCCCGGTTCTTCTTCCTAGAATATACGTGATTTGAAGATATTGCAGCATCGGCTCGCGCTTGTATGTGGTTCTGAAGAGAAACTCATGAGACCTGAGGCTAAGGTCAAATCTTGTAAGTACGGCACGGCGGTTACCGGCAAAGAATCCAAATTTGACCTGACTAACACCCAAAGGGCTGAAAGAATCTAGAAGTTGCAAGAAATTGCAAACCTAAGAAAAACTGAGAAAAAGATACAAAAAAGGCAACACAAAAAGAGATGTCGCTCAACTCAACCAACTGATGACACCAACGGTCCAATAGACACGAAGCCGATTCACCTGAGGACCGCTACTGGAAGCCGGACCTTACGGAAGCAGAGGTGAGGAAATTCGAGACCGGATCCTTAAGGGATCGTGATATCCTGTGATCAGAAAACTAGAATAACAAATGCGTGTTTGTGTTTTTCTTGTTCTTCTTTTAAGCCCGCTCCCCCATCCCTACTTAACTATATAAGGCACCTACTTCATTAAGTAATGGAGAGGCAGCTGGCAGCTAAAAGAACGCTACTAGTAACTGGACGCAGGATAGCTCGCGCTAATGATTTGGTTCCTAGATGTTTGGGACCAGAATGGCTAGAACAACTTGAGGGTAAACCATCCTCACCAGCACAAGCTTGCAAGCGCAGAGGTCAAGCAGGCTTGCAGGTTCTGCCAGCCACAGTCAACACTGGTCAACACAGCTGCATATTGGAAGGCAATTGACATCATCAAGAAGTGCATTAAGGAGTTGGAGACGCCTCTCGCTTGCACATGTTTGTGAGTGAAAGGAAAGGCCGATTTGGGTATTATTTGCATACTGCCACCCAGGCGATTCATCGTTGACCTCCCAGGATTCAAGTGTCGCCATCTCGGATGAGAACCGAAAACGCAATGTGAATTGAACCGAAAACGTTTCGCTTTAGGACCTCAGAGACGCCATCAGAGTACCGCTTCTAGAGAGAGAGAGAGACTAAACGGAGGATCAAACTATTGGTTTGCTGAGGCAAGATTGTCAGCAAGGAGGGCACAAAGGACGTGACGTGTGGCCCTTGATGTGAATATGAAACGCACCGAAGAAGGAAGAGAATGGAAGAGATGGCCTCCAACCTAATAGGAAGAGAATGGAAGAGACTGAAAGGAGGGTTTCGTGGTCGTTTCGGTCCTGCCGTCGCCCCATCGAGTCTCCGCTCCAAGGCTCTGAGCGAGACGGCTCACCTTCTTGTCGAAGTGGTTTACACCGAAGCGTAGCTCGAAGGTTGACACAAGCGTAGCTTCAGGTGTAAGATCTCCAAGAAAAGATGCACAAAAAGCTAGAGGTTTCAAGGAGACATTCAACCGCAGTCAATTCTTCATCTCAAGAGCTCCTGGAAGAACGATCATTGGCTATTCCGTTTTCAGATAGCAAGGAGGTGACTAGGCCGGAAGGACAAGTGCTCCGACGGCGCGCTTGACAGTCTGAACAGGACACGTGGCTGGCGCAAAGTAGAAAGACGAAAGACAACTGTCTGAACGGTAGTGCGGTGTATGACTGTCACACGTCAAGAATGACTCTGTTTGATGTCTCAACTGGTCATAGCTGGGGAAGACCCGTTAACACGCAATAGCGGGATGATAGCACAGCAAAGCGTGTTTCCGCGTAGCTTGCTGCCCACGTCAAGAGCTTGTCCCAAAACAATATCCATCCTCCAGATGCTCAAAGTTTTGGACAGTGACGCCCCAATTAGAGAGGTAGGGAAAGGTGTCTAACGATGTTTAAGGGTCCGTTATAGACCCTTTATTGTTTATTCCTGTCTTTCTTACTTATATCATGTGGTCTTTTCCCGAATGCGTAGCGAAGGGTTCTCGTTTAACTCTGGGGGTCTGGGGGTAGAGCCTTGTTCGCGACCCGTTGTGTTCCGCAAGAGCGACACACAAGAGTGTCCCAGTGTTCCGCAAGAGTGTCCCACAAGAGTGAGTGTCACACAAGGTGTCCGACAAGAGTGCACAAGAGTGTCCCACAAAGGTTTCCGACAAGAATGTGTCCTACAAGAGTGTAAAAAGTTCTTGGGTGTTCTTTTTTTGAGCATATACGTGTTTGCATTCGGGTTCGTGTGTTCCATCAGCTTGAATTCGGCAAAACATGCCAAAATGCCTGTCGAAGCGTCGGGAATCTGCAGAATAATGATTCTCATTGCGGATAAAACCATTAGAACGTTGATAGATACAAGTTGCCTTGCTGGACCAAAACGATGCAAGGCAACTGGCATTCAGCCGGCCCATCAGTTGAGAATCTGCATGATATGTTTGCTCGTGGCTCGCACAGTACGCGGAGTCCTCCGGCTTCAGTCATTCTGAAAGATCAGGCTGCTGCACAAAGGTCACTGCAGGACGAGCAGTGTTTCAATGACCAGAGTGTATGTTTTGGAGATGTCATCGGGATGGTTGCCTCTAACAGGATCACACTAACACGCTGTTGTTGCCATGGAAGTGCGTCGAAGAAGCAATGCGGAAACCAAGGCAGGGATGCGATGTGTGCAAACTCTTGAAGCTCCAATCCAAAGAGGATCAATTGAGATGACTGACTGGTCTATTCTTTCCACAGTCTAAGTTGACCGTAACTTTTATATGCGGTTTGATTGGAATGATGTCTGATTGTAAAAGTCTATTGAGAAGAGCAGCGACAAGACATCGGGTTCTCTAGAGAAAGGCACACATGCAAACCAAAGGGAGCTCCTAGACAACCTATTGGAGTGGAGGCCATCGGTATTAGGTTGTTTGGCTTTCCACCTTCAGGTCGAGCTCCCAGGTTCTCACTCGGTGCTGCAGCAACGCTTGCGGAGCGTCTCTCAGGAGAGGTACAAGAAACGCATCCATTACCCAGGATGGATGCACCATTTCCGCTTCTCAGTGTGTCCATGGATGTCCATGGGAACTCAAAACGGTTCTTGAAGAAACCTGCCCTTCAAGGCCCTTCCAGGCCCTTTCCTTCAACAAGGGATAACTGAATGGTTCTTGCGTCAAGTGACCTGACGAGATGAATGGATTCCATTAGACTGTGAGAGGTCCTCACTTTGTACACATGGATTTCATCCAAGTATCAATTCCAAATGATCCCATCCAAGCACAATGACGATTTACTCAGCTCATAATTCATCTGCCTCGTGCTGGACCTCGACAGAGCACATGACGGAACACATGTCAGACGACATGTCAGAAGAGATGTCGGAACAAAGTGCAAAACAAGTGCCATAACACATCATAACACATATCAGAGTAGGAGTCGGAGTCGGACTATATGTATTTGTCAGAAGTGCATGCCAGAAGGTGTCTCAGAACACATGTCAGACTTGAAGGATGTCAGAACACAGTCCAAAACATATCCCAGCCTTTATGCTACTAGATAATGTGCCAAAAGCAGACTTGATGCCAGAGCAAATGTCGGAGCATTGTCTCAGTGCACATATCACCCAGCGTTTGCCAGGATGGTCTCTCAATACATGTGCCCTACCTTCTTCTAGATCGCCTTTCAGGGTGGGAATTGCTCGAGCTAAAGTTATTGTGTTTCCCACTTTTTGCCTCAGGAGTCTGATGAGCTATTGATGTATGCTGCCGACGTGCAGGCCCCGTGCTCTCCAAAGTCTTGTGTAGCGCATGGCCAAAGCTATCGCTTCTTAGTGGTGCTGCTTGAGCACCGCTCCTTGTTCGTCTGTGCTTCTGGATTAGTTCGTCAGAATCCTAAATTCAGTTGCTTTGCCAATTTCGTGAAGAAAAGAAGAACAAAGTACATACCGTGAAGGATCGTCGTATGTTAGCTGAGTTGTCGTCTTTCTCAAGATGATTTCGTTCTCATCACTTGGCCTCAGGAACGTGAAAAGTCTCCGATCCATGAGGCTGGCATGGACTCGGTGTGGCAAGCAGGTTAGGAACTGATTGCGCCAGGTGAAATTGGCAGAGCAAGCAGGTGTAGATCGACGTAGCAAGTGTCTTGCAAGATGCAGATCCATGATCAGCCTAAAGTCCACTGCGGAGAATGACAGGTTCCTGTTCCTCCATCCTCCACGTTCGTTGCCTTTGGGTTGTAGGCATATGCGGAGGGCCAGACCATCTCCGCAAAGGTCATGGGCATCCTGGCTTCGCTCCAATTGGTTGTTGAGGGGGAACAATCAATGCTTAATTGATGGTCTTTTCCTTTCTGATTCACCCAGAAATAGTTGGAACCCTTTGTAAAGGTGGATCGGTGAATTCGATGCATCTTCTTTGCCTCTTCTCAAAGGTTGTGACCTCCCCCTCAATTTAAAGAAGGCATGTGCGATGCCTAGACAGCCTGGGTTTGGAATGCCGAGCACGTGTCGATCGCACCCCTTTCATGTGCCGACAGATGACGTCAGCAGATGAGGTTTCCATGACGACTTGGAGTCCTGGGGTTATCGGAACTTTCCCGTCAACAGCTGAGACGCATAGACCGAGACAAGTTCGCCAGAGGCGAAAAAAAAAGATGCAGAGACAAGTTCACCAATCTCACAAAGGAAAGAACAAAGAGCACAAGAAAATGTAGCTCAGCAGTGGAAAGCGCATTCTTTGACGAACTTCAGGTCATCACTGATCACTTCAACTTCCTGGTCTACGGGGTGGATCTTGCAGTGCGCAGCATCAGGCAGAAAAACGACAAAGAAAAGGGAAGGGCTGAGCGGCTGAGCTGCTACCAGGAGCAGTCACTGAGTGGTCATCAGTAGCCACTCCGGACTTTAGCAATGGTGCTGGTTTGGAGAAGGATTCGCCTGCCCACTAGTATGGCCCTTTATGCGTGAGAAGTTAGAACATCAAAAGAAAATGCAAACCAATCCTATGAATGTGAAGCAAAATGTGAAGCATAAGGTTGAGAAAATATCGAATAGAAAGGTTTAGAACATGATGATAGTGTATGATAGGTATGGGTACTTGACAGCAGTTGAGTTGCTTTAAGTAAGAGGAGCCCACTCCAGATCATTTGTGCAGCAGACGCCATATCAATCCATATAGGTCAAACAACTACAAGCAATGGCCTCCAACCTACTAGCGATGGCCTCCAACCTAATAGCGGGAAAGAAAGTAAACAAAAAGAATAAAACATGGAAAGGTTCCAAAGAAGTGCTCTTTTTAGCCTGGCCAGCCGTAGGTGGTTCCAGTTCGGCTTCGCGGCATGTTGGCTGGGCTTCCGCCTTTGCCTTTACGCCGTCATGTAGCACCGGCGTGTGAGGGTCCAGATGGTTGAGGGTTTTCAGAGCATTCGGCCGGATTCGTCAGCGGTTCAGAAGCTCAGCTCAGCATCGAAAAGCTTGTTGCAGAGGTGGTAATAGAGCTTTCGTTTGGTTTGTTCGGGTTCATAACTGGCGTAAAATCAAATGAACACAACTTGTTCATGGAGGCAGGCTCTAGCAAAGACAAGTCAAGTATAACATGCATTGATGCGTTTTTCCAGACCGTTTCATACATGCACTGAAACATGTTCCACGCATTGGTCAGGCGAGCTTAGATTTCAGGCTGTGCTGTTTGGGTATATAGTAACTGTTGCTTTGATGTTTGTTATTTGTGTGGAGTGACTGTTGTTTGACAACAGTAATTCTGCATGTTGCACGTTCCGTCGTTCTCGGGTGCCAGGTTACTGCCGGCCTTTGTTCGCATTATGCAACTTCTTTGCATTCATGTGAAGACTAATTTGAGACTTTGGAATAGACTCTAGACTGAAGTGAAGAAAGTGAAGAAACACTGGGTGAGTTGGACACGTCCCAATTCGATCAGATCGGATTCACGAGGCTTACCTATTATCATGATCCACGAATTCACCGGCGAATTCGCTATGGTCCTGCTGAGCGGGAGTATTTGGATATCTACGTGGCAGCCCCGATGTGAACGGCGAGCCTTCGACCAGCTTTGTTTTCTTCGAGAAGCACTAAGGTTCCCAAGGAAGCACTGGAGAAGGGCGCAAAAGTCCCGGTGCCTTGAGAAAAGTGGATGTGGACGTAGACTAGAGTGGACAAGACGAAACTCATATTATGAGTATATAACCTTCTTTGATGTTATAACTTATACATGGTGCGGACATGCTTTTCGATCAAAAGCCTTTTCAGTTCGCTCGATGAACAGGCCATCTTTTGTTTCAGAATTATATGCCCTTATACTGTTTTCCTATGCAGCCTAATCATAAATATGATGTTGTGTTTTTTAATCACATTTTATCAATATACTATCATAATCTCGGTGGGACCAATGTCGGTAGGGTTGGTCGGGTTACGGGTTGGTAGGTGGTGATCGCTGTGATGGGTGGCGCTTTCATCATTGGGCACCGTGGCTACAACGCGCAGCTGGGGCTTCGGCTGATGGAGCGACGCTGAGCGACGCGCTGCGTGGGTTCATGAACCCACTGCGACGAACATCCTGAAAATGGCTAACAGTGGCCAATGTGCTTGGCACACATCCTGTAAATCAACGTTGTTCCAAAAAAAATGAGGCATGGAAGCTTCTGTGTGTGTGTGTCTCGTTTTGTGCGAGGGATTTGATGATCGTCCATGCTGGACACATGAACAAATCAGTGTCGCCAAAGTTGTATGTTAAACCGTGCTCCATTGCTGAAACATGCTGAAACCAGGCCTCATTTGAATTCATCCTAGAAGGTCCCGTGAAAGTAGTGTTTTGACAAAAACCTAACAAATCGAACTATATACTGGTACGTCATCTCCTTTCTTCAAATGTCTCAGAGGAGTTTGGCATCATAACGGTTGGAGTCGACTACCGCAATTTTCCAAGGCCAGCCTTTGCGAGCTTTGCTTGTTTGTACAAGACAGTTGCTTTTGACTTGAATCTGGCTGGTCATTCTGTGGGCTTCAGCTGCAGGGGGTGCATCCCAGACATGGTGGAGGATGTTAGCCGTGGTGTCCGCTGGGACCGGCTCTCAATGAGCATGAGCTGAGCTACGATTTGAGATTGCGTAAGACATTACCGTAAGACATAGGCTACGCAGCTACGCACAAACGATCTCGTAGCTCCAAGGTTTTCCAAAACATAGAGCGCTACGGTGGCGACATCTCGAATGTGCGGCTCCCAGTTGAAGTCAGGTTGTGTTGAGGTCAAGTCTTGGAGCCGGGTGTCGGTGTCTAGCCGGGGTGGTTGGTGTTTGCGTGTGTGTGATTTAACCATTTACATGAAGGGACTTGTTTGAGAGGTTACCAAGGTGGCTCATCCTGCTGGCTTGATGGAATCTGCGGGGCTGTATCAGTATGCCTACCTCATCCTTCCACCTGCATCCTACTGTACAGACCTTTGGGTTGATGTTGAACTGAAAGTAGCTAGATGTCGGATGTAACCACATGGAACCTCACTTCTCCATTTTTGAGCATCTGCCTTGTAAAAGCAAGCCGAGATAAGCTATGAAAACTTCAGCTCTCTTCTCATGTCATGCAGACATATGCAGACCGCGTTTCCTTGTCACTATGTTTTCACCGAAGTTGCGGCCAAAGTCCTAATGCAACTCCTTTTTTGCCTCAGGTGATGCTCATGGGTCAAAGCGCCGGGGCGCACCTGGCCGCTATGCTTTTGCTGGAGCACAGTTTGTTGGAGGCTGATGTTTGTACAGTGTGGGTAGAAATTGCAGAATGTCCACTACGGTCTAGAATGACAGTTCATTGCAATGAGTGATCACTCATCAGTTCCCTGAAATGCATTCCTTTGAGTCGCCTGTTCAGATTCTCGAAAAGCTTGAAAGCTGCACGATCAAGCATTTCGAGCCGAGATTGCAGGCAAAGCACATCGCTGATGGGAAGGACTTCAACGACAACTGGTCTGTGAAGGACGGGTTTGACAAAGCAACTCTTGGCAGTTGGTAGGGAAGGGCAGGATTTGCTACAGCTCCTAAGTCCCAAGTGCTCCAGGAGGCCCAAAGTGAAAAGTATGGGTAATTAAACTTAATTCGAATTACTTTTGTTTGTTATAGCAAAAATTGTTACTACTAGTAAGGCACTTGTTACTAGTAGCGATGTACTTGTTAGTAGCGAACGGCACGGATGGTGAGGACTTGCAAGCTTTCCTGGGCATCTCAGGACCATACCATTTGGACTCTTGGACGTTCGAAGTGGATATATTATGCATATGCCATGCGGCAATGCCATATCACGATATTTCTTGGCAGAATAGGAGAGCCTGGTGTGTGTGAGGTGTGTGTGGAGACGTCATGAGATGTCCAATCAGCAGCTCGCTAGTCTCAAAGTGTTGAGTCTTCGACTGCACTGAGGAGAAGCTGGGCCCCCACTTGTCTTCCCGAGGGCTTTACCCAGGCTCAGATCCTCGATTTTTAGTTTGAGTCTCTTCCTGGCTCAATTTTCCTGCCTGGGAGCCCATTCACAGGAGAAATCCCGCTCTGGATCGTGAAAGTAGATGAAGTCACGTTCACGAACTGGCTTTGTTTGAATTTGAATCTCGATAATTGTGTGCTCGATTAATTGTATGCTCGAGAAAAGAGCCGGCCAATCGCTATACACATTCAGAAAACCATTTGTGCACCATCCGTCAGGCATCATGACCCACATGACCGCTGGGGATTTGCCGGGCTGTTCCCCAGAAGCGCTGCTGCAAAACAAGGAGCAGAGTTGGTGACGCGCATGTGTATATATATATATATTGTTGTTGTTTTTTTAATCTTGTTTACTGTAGTTTGTTTACCCTTCGAACTTGGATTGGTGCAGGAGTGGAAGGCCCCGACGTCGCAAAGCAGTTGAACTCTTCGGAGATTTTATCCCAAATGGCAGTTCCTGTTCTTCATGGAAACTCCAAACCTTTTCGTGACTCCGGAGGGATGTTGCTTGGACAGCCTCTTGGGCCTCTTGGGTTCCACCACGAGGTTTCTATGAAATCCTGCCAGGCTTTGGCATGAAACAGAAGCGAGACTCTAAAACACAAAGACAAGTCTCAAAATGAAAGATATAGAAAGACCATGAAAGACCATAAGGAATATGACTATTCTGAAACATGACCCAACGGTTCTATTTGGGAATGTCTTTTGTCCAGGCCGTTGGAAAAGCTGCAGCTAGCCAGCTGCCTCCCTTGCATTTGTTCCATGGAGATTGTGACAAGGCACCTCGAACATTTGGCACCAGAAGCTACGTTCGTATCTTCTAGCTAATAGTAGAAATGCCCTTGTTCCTAGTAGCGATGCCAGGCTGTGCCTGTGTGGTCCTCGGAGCAATTTGCCGCCGCGCTGAAAGATGCGGGTGCAAAAGTGGTTTTGGATGTGCGCAAGGGCATGACGCATCTCGGACAAACGGCTGGAGATGTTAACTGGATTTTTTCGGATGTGTGTGGTTGTAAATGCAAGTTGGACAAAACAACAAAATACAGCAGGAAAAGGACGTGTGAGTCTCACGAAAGGAACGTCAATTGATATGTGGATGGCTTCACGATGCTTTTTCTATCGTTAATTTCAAGAAAGCAATGCTTTTTTGCCAGTGCTTCAGCCGTGCCTTCATGGCTTGTTTTCAGAAGAAAAAGGATGAAACAGGTGTGCGTCATTAACACTTCCTTTGAGGCATACCTACCCTGTGGTCGAAGGTCCTATGAGGCAAGGCTGTGAGATGCTGTGAATTCTCCATGTTGGTAAAAGATGAAAGAGCTGATAGAGAAAGAAACAAGAAAAAACATAATTCTCTCTCAAAGACTCTTACAGACATGTCTTTTCTTTAGACCCTTGTTTGCATTCCAAGTAGTGAGAGTTAGATCGCTAAGTCCATTTCCCGCGAATCAGACGTTCAGCTGAAGGCTTTGAACTTTGAACCCGACCGATGTCGTAAGGTGTTCATCCATTTGCGTACAATCAGAAACGATGCAAAACCATAAGCAGTACTTCAACGGTTTTGCGCAAATGGAGGCGACATGATCCACAGGTTGAGCATCTTGGAGGACAAAATCAGCGCCCGACAGATCCTGTGGTGCCGGCAACGGGAGTCACAATAGGTAATTCCCGCAATGGGTAATTGACTGCACAACAATAAGTTACAACCCTTAAGGTCCTCACTTTGCAAGTTACAGCCGCAAGGCTGAGGGTGCAGTTAGCCTTCAGTGGCGACACTCGATTGTTCGAGAAAACTCGATGTTTTCACGTTCTCCACCTTTTCTTGTTAAACAAAGGCCTGGTCTCCCGTCTTCCAAGAGTAACACCCGAAGAAACCTAGATCTTTCCAAGTTGCCAATCAGCTTCTTTGGTTCCTGAGACATTTTGAGGATGTAGTGTTGGCGGTATGGTTGCGAATGTTTGAAAGACCCCGACCCCCAGGTTGGTTCTGCCCATGATGCTGGGCACGGGGGCAGAGAAGCGGATCGCCGAAGAGAAGCAGCTGCCGCTCAGCTTGAGGGATCTCACAGTTCTCACAGAGAATGTGTAGACTTCACACTGTGAAGGGATGTTTAGGATGTTTGCATTGACAAATTTCGATGGAGGGTTGCTACATTGGCCAAGACAATGTATGTTCACTCTGTAGGCAGCAGGACATTGTGCGGGTTATAACTTAGTTGGTGTTACAGCTAAGTCGTAAGTCCCTATGTGTCATTTGGGCAGCTGAGCCTAATGATTGTGTTGAGAATTTCCACAGTTGATCGATGGTTGGCTCTTCCGAAGGATTTGGAGGATAGAACCCTAGCGAGCTTAAAGTCCTTAGCGCCACAGTCAACCCCTGTTTTCGAAGGACAGTGAACAATTCTGTTGGGCTGTCAATGTCCAAAAGCAAATTGCTTCATTTGGGCCAATCCCATTCATATGTCTTCATATTGTCCTGGAGAAGACATGATTACCATGTACACAGATGATGATCACTCACGCCCCGCCACGGGAATTGGGAGGATGACGGATGGCGGCGGGGCGGATTGAAAGTTAGGCCTCCCATGGCCCCGTTGCGCATGCTGGACTTGGCCGGCATCATCTCTCCCTTCTGACTGAGACGATTTCATAGGCGTGGTGGCGAAGGCAAGATGGAGTAGTCTTCCTTCGCTTCGTTCTTCGAAACTTCCTTCTATCTCCTTTATGATTTGTTCATGAACTTTCAGACCCCCTCGTTGATCTTTAGTGCTATGCAATCCTCGATGATGCTTTTATAAAATCATATTTCAGATGGTCTTGGTGTCTTACCTGTCTTCCCGGTCTTCCCTCTTCTTCTTCGGTTCACTTCCCGGTTCGCTATGGCTTGGGCCTGGCGAGAGGAATTCCTCGAGCTGGAAGGGGGTTGCCTCGAAGGTGCGGCAAAATCCATACAGACACATTCGTCATATGCCCATAGGAAACACAAATTATATATATATTAATATATATATATATTGAAATTTCGATGTGTCACGCATTCAATGCATTTCAATGCTCCATGAATCCTGTCGGGAGAGTGCCACCCGTATATGATGTATGGTAAGGGCTAGAGTTCACTAGAATTCAATGGTAGCACAAGTGTCTATAGGCTTTCTTCCTTGCGCTTACTGCGAGCAAGCCAGCAAATGCATCAAGTTTGGGAAATTCCAAGTTGATTGTGCTCTTACAGCTCTTCATCTCCTCACAAGGAGGAGATAACAAAAACCGCTGAAGCAGAAGGCTTCTCAGCTGCTAAGCAGCCTGCCAATTCAGTGCTACTAACTGACCACAAGGGCGTGTCATGGCCCGACGTGACCATCCAAAGGATTTATGCTTATTGTACTCTTTTTAGGACGATGTAGGTTTGTCATCCAGGGATTTACAGTAGATGGGGTATTCCACGTGGAAAACCAAACATTAGGATTAGACCAGGACGGTTTGGGTCAGTTCACCCCCACCACCCCATGCACTAGTCCCTCGTATTTTTACAGACATTGTGCGTTCATTCAGGCCTCAATAACGTGCATTTGACCTGCTTGAATTCTCTCCTCAAGAATGGACGATTGGGAGGGGCGCCATACTGACATGGCTTGAACAGGCTGTTACACTGTTGATGGTGGTAAACTACCATACGCAAGTGGAAGACTTCCGGTAACAACAAATTGGTCCATCAATTTCCAAGCGAATCCAGAGTCATGGTTCTTGCAAGCATTGCTTGTCCTGTTCTTTCCAACTTTCCTGAATCCGAGGGGCGAAGGGCACTTTTGCAAGGTGCGGCAAGGGAGGCCTTGTCGAATGGGGCCTCTTCATTGAAACAATCGAAGATGCGCTTTGGTCCAAAAAGATTGCTGAAGCGACTGGCACATGTCCACGCCCTTAGCTTAAGAAATGGAGAACTGAGGGTTGAAGTTCAACCGTGTTTGGATGCTTGAACGTATCGTAATCACAAAATTCAACAGTCGCCATGGTGGTTGGGGCTTGTCCTCTCACTACAGCGATGGTTGTTTCCCCAATTTGTTCATCATATCGGGTCGCCTGCCGTTTCAAGCCAGACTTCGCAAGATCCGGAGCCAGACGTCAATGAAGTTCAATGAGTAACAAAGTGAAAATATCATGGAAGTTCCAGGAAATGTGATAAAGAAAATAAAAGGACCAGCAGAGGCAGCCCAGTTTTGGTTTGGGCTGGACACGTTGGAGAGATCTGAAGAAGAGTTTTAGAAAATTATGATTCTCTAAGTCTTTGTCAAGAGGGCTGTTGGCGCAATATCCCCCTCATGGCATCTAAGCAAGCGAGGAAGCCTAGTGAAGCTGAGGACCCATGGTCCAAGAGTTTGCATTTTGGAGCTTTTTCCTCAAAAGAACAATAGAAGAAATGAAAGAACCTATATCATAGCGATGGCCTCCAACAAACTAGTGCGTGCGTTTCCTCTCGAGTGGTGATCCGGACGTCGTTGTCCAGCCGCGTGATTCATGATTTTCGTGATGACGACACGGTTCCGAATATGATCAGTGGGGTCGACGGATTAGATTAAAGATGAGCCCACAGGAATACTGGGACGCTGAAATACATTGGAATACCGTGCGGCATGGCCTGCAGGGCAGGACAATATCTTGGTCCTGTTTGGAGAATGTTGTTCCAGTGTATTTCATGGGGCATCGCTACTAGGAGCAAGGACGCTACTAGGGGCTCCTGGCCTTACTACTAGGAGCAAGAAGCTACTAGGGGCTCCTGGCCTTACTACTAGGAGCAAGGACGCTACTAGTTAGCATTCGTCGTGAATTCACTCAAAGTCCAAGATAGTCCTGAATCCAGACGACTTCGCTCGCTTTCTTCGCCAGAGAACTACTTTAACTTTGCGGTTCTTCTCCAAGGCTTCTTCAAGACTGCGGAAAGAAATCAAGGCGCGGCCGCAGTCAAATCTATAGATGAGGATGAATTCATCCTTTTCGCCATTGAGCAGCATCTTGCAAACAACGGCAGCCAGAAATCCAGACAACTGGGGAGCCAAGATTGCTTTTTGATGAGCCGAGTCCCGTCACGAGTCGGTCCGTCACACGAGCAGTGACTGGTTTATGTCCACTGCTGACACTGCTGACATTGCATGTTGTTACACTATGTTACACTGCTGACACTGTAGGCCATCAGCGAGGATCCGCCTCCTCACATTCATGTCTCTGTGGAGGAGGCCGAAAGGATTGCGCAGAATTTGGTGGTACTATGATCAAGCGCAGAAGCGACCACATGCCACATACGAAGGTCATAAATGGTGGGAGGACTGTTGCAGTTGAGCTCAGTGCGACCACAAACAGCGTTGGAAATAACAACCGGCACCGATACACCGACCCAGCAGTTTGTGCTTTCGATTCATGTCGGTAACGACTTTAAAGCATCTCAGCTTTCTGTTTGTCGACATGCCGCCACAAAAGTGTGCCTGCATAACGGCATGTCGCTGCAAACATGCTTTCCATGCGAGCTGAGACATTTAACGAATGATTCCCCATTGTGATTGGAGCTGGACACATTAGTCTCCAATAGCGTGACAATCAATGAGCAATGCTGTCAGTCGGACATCCTTGAGTGGCACTACGTCTTGGAAGGCCCTAAGGCGAGGGAAACGCAAGGGACCAACTCTGAAGCTGTAGCCATGCTGTCACTCGCTGAAATCGTTGAAAACCGTAGAGCAAACTATGAAGTATGATAGAGCAGTGCTGAGCTGTAGGTCCAGGTCCTGAAGCCAATCCTGGATGCCGCAAAACACACTACGGTCCCGTCTCCGGTTTGTGGACAACGCCGCCCAACCAGGAGACTCCCTATGAGGGTGGCTGGTCTTTGTCTGAGATTTGAGTCCAGTGAAAGATCTTGGTGTCATTCGATGCCATTGGAAGTCATTTGTCTTTTGGCATAGTGTTTGTTCCAGTTTGTGTTTCACTTGGTTCCATACAGCAAAGATAGGGCATAAGGAGAAGCTCGACAAGCGAAACCACTCGAATGTTTCTTTTGCCCACGAGGCGTCTTTGAGCGATGTGTCAAGCCTGTCGAGCGTCGTCAAGCGTCTAAAAAGCACACACGTCAAATCAAGCGTCACGCTTTTGCACGCTTTGCACTGAGGTTTTGGGGACGCTTGAGATTCCCCAAGGACTATCCCTTCAGACCGCCGTCCATTTTGATGGCTCTTTGGTCGCAGCTGACACGGCTGTTTCGGGAATAGAGACTCTGGACTTAGTAGTAACAAGAAGCTAGTAGGAACAAGTGCCTTACTAGTAGTAACAGGTCCCTCATTACTAGTAGTAACAAAGAAGCTACTAGGAACAAGTGCTTAAGTCGGACGGTTTCAGGTCACGCCGAATGGGCGCTTCGAGACCAACACGAGGCTCTGTTTGTCGATGCACGGGAGCACAGAACGACAGACGACACAGTCACGTCACTCATGGGGACGAACCCAAAAGCGAAGTAGCAGAACTAAGCGAAGTAAATGCTCTGAAAACAAATGCTTTCAGAGCTCTAGGTTGGATTTTGGATATTTTGGCTTGGAAATGGCGCGAGGGGGGAAGCCACCAAAAGGGCCGTCACCTGGTTTGTTTCCGCTACACTTCCAATAAAGCCCCTTTACCTAGACACTGACATAACTTTGCCAACCAAGCAAGGCTAGCTTCTGAGCGCCAGTTGGTTTAAAAATCCTAACCATGCTGCCTCAAACGCTGTCAGTCCCAAGACATCCTTGGAAGGAAGTTTGAATCCTGACATGAAAGAACCCCATTGGAGAGTAACACCACCCAATAGCGATGGCCTCCAACCTAATGGCGATGGCCTCTAACCTAGAAGCGATAGCCTCCAATCTAGAAGCGCCAACAAAAAAGGGAACAGAAGATGAACACTGGTGTGCATTGGCTGCTTTGTTTCAACGAATTGAAAACTTGACGACTTTGGGGGGATCCATATCTCCACACCGCAAGTTCTACCCATGGCTTCTGCAGGAAGGGGGCAGTCAACCACTTCTTGATCCTTACACTTTTGGTGAAACGCCTTCAACCGTATGCCATGTAAGATGATGCCGAGAAGATGCATTTGCTAATTGAATGTACTTGTGTTGGCAAGTTCTCCTCATGAGGGTGTGATTTGTTTCTAAAGCACTTGACCAATCTTCACTATAAACATCTATAAACATCTATAATGCAAACAGCACGTCCGAAGTCCAAATGCCAAACGTCTGAGATTTTGCTGTAACTTTTCACCGATCGCCCAGATGTATGCACAAGGCCATGTCAGAAAAAGCACATGGTGCTGACGGCACTGCCCAAGTTGCAGAGCCGGAGCTTCATAGAGAGTTTCTCAAAAGAGCCCTGCCACTTGCCACAGCCTTGCCACGGCGACCTTTGCCCACAGCGTTCGACCCTTTGCAACGCATCGACCTTGCCCGACTCCGAGGTCTGACTATCACCCGGAGACTTGGCAGCCTGCCTGGTCCGTGGCCACGGTCTTGAAGGGCTTGCTCTCCTTTATGTGTGAGGAGAAGTCCCAAACATGAAGAATAAGTGTTTTGGGCCTGAAGATTTTAAAAAATAAATCATGTCAACCCAACCCCAGAAGACCATTGAGGCCCACGAACAAGAGCAGTGTCAAAGTCTAAATGAACACAATTAGAATACACTTGATGTGTAATTCGGGCCCCTTTCGGAATCTGTCAACCACCCCCCAAAGTACTCGGCGGAATGAGCCAGCCACCCCAAGAACGACAACATTTGACAATCAAATCGCTATCACTTGTCATGTCCCTTCTCACGAATTCAGAAACTGTCGGAAGAAGACATCAGACTAAGCCAAGAGTCCCGAGTCGTGGTGTGAAGCTTCCAGGAGACTCCAACGGCCGGTGCGATACACCCACCGCCACCCAGTGAAGTGAGGACTTTGTTTTTGGACTTTTAGCGCGTGGCCCAGGGCCGCCCAGCCTCCTTTATTAAGTAAGAGAGAAGCAAGCTACTAGAAGTTCGCTCGTAGCTAGGACGCAGGATAGCAGTCGCACTAATGATTTGGTTTCTAGCGTTTTGGACATGCCGTGCTCAGAGGGCGTGTACTCAAGTGTAGCATTTCTGACACAAGCGACTCAGGGAGCAAACATGCTATAGTCAGAGCAGAGGAAGAGGAACATGTCTTGAATTCGACAGGAGAGATTTGGCCAGCAAGTCCATCGCTTGGAACAAGGACCACACTACGAACTTTCCAGATTCAACGGTTCCCTTCCCGAGTTGAAGTGAATCCAATTGAATCATGTTCAATGGTACCTCCAGTTCTGGCACTGTCCCTCTTGGTCGCCTGTCAAGGCAAGCATTTTGATGCTACAGCAACAGGATCTTTGTCTTGTAAACTGCTCCTTGAGTTCGCAGGAACAGGCCGAATTCAAGCGCTTGTTTCCTGAGGCTGATGCCGCCACGTTGACTCCATGAAACACCCGTGCTCTCAAGTAAGCATACACGTGCCGAAACATGGATTTTGTTGATCACAAGTCGTGACTTGTCATCTCTTGCATTCTCTTGCATCTTACGTGCCAGTTTGACGACATTGTTGCACAGTCGCAGGCAAGGGCAGAAGGTTGCAAAGTCTTTCAGTCGAAAGCAAGATGCAAGACTTCAAGACTCATCATAGCACTTTTGGGGCAGCGAAAAGGCACCCCAATTGTGTTGCAGTCTTCATTGGAATAACATGCTATATAACTGTTCTGATTGACAACGTGAATGGATCGACAAAGTTGACGTCACAGGCCCCATGCAAATGTCTGTCAAGGAACAATCTAAATCGATGCATCTACGAAGCAAACCTGTTTTGAGAATGGCTGATGACAGCAGACCTTTGGGTGCTCTCCTTTTGAAACGGGCATTTATGACGCAAGGGTGTCCGAACGCAGGTTGCCCAAGAGGCCGAACGCCAGAGACTTCAGGCTGGTGGGTTGGTTGGTGTCTGCACTGTTCATGTATAAGTAAGCGTGCCTGGGGCGTTTTGGCCCTAAAGACTTGAACGTTAAACTCTTTCATTTTTGCAATTTTCCTAACTACTTGCAAAAAAGAGTGCAAGCAACGCCACCGCGACCAGAGCCAATTCCACGGACGCCAGGCGACTGCGCCAGTGCCCCCGGTGATCGCTGTCACTGGAGGCTACGCAGTTCAGGCGACTGTGCGGTCGCAGAGCCAAGGGAAAGATGTCATTTCTGCAAAATACAAGCAAGAGCAAAGTTGAATGCTTGTTTACTTCAAAGACATTGATAAGTTGACAAGGTATTGACTCAGAAGTCCTAGCGGGTGAGGACACAGGTGATTGTGATGGGTGATCAGATTGCTTTCAGTGTTTTAACTGTTTTTTTCAGTGTTTTAAGTGTTTTGTCATGTCATGTTTTTGCAATTCCTTGCCTTCAGTTCCTTGGATCCACCCAGGTGACCCCTGCGCCAGAGGAGGGATGAAACGAACGAAAACGTAGAGACAAAGTGGGAGGAGACACAGCAGACCTTGGCTTCAGTGGTTGGCAACTTATTCTAAGTGTGGACAATTTCAAAAAACTAGCTAGGTCTTAGGCTTGTTGGCGCACTGACAAAAACTGCATAAAACTTGATCGTTGTGATGCCAAAGATTGAAAAGCAACTGGTCTACTTTACTGAGCTGGGCTCAAAGCAGTCGCCATGGAAGTCAGCCGCAATCGCAGCTACTTGGCCCTCGAAGCAGCTGAGGAAGTTTGGAACAAACTTATTCGCAATCTCCCGCCCTTTGATGAATCCAATGACATATTGTTCAATGTCTATGCGCTGCTTCCTGGACAAGTTAGATTTGTTAGTCTTGCCAAGAGATTCAACGGTTCATGTCAAAAGAGCTGATTGGTGAAGGGCAATTGATGCTGGCAGTGAGGAAAGGTGCGTTCATGTTTGTTCTGGTTTGTTGTTCTTTTGGGTTCAGGGCTGTAGGAGAGTCTCAATCAAGACGCCATGGTTTACTCTGGGCATTCTTTAAAGGTTTGTTTGGCTTAGTTTGCTGGCTAAGGGGATAAGTTACTTGGTTATTTATTTCGGGCTTTGGGCTTCTTTTGAGGATCGTCTCGGTATATTTAGGTCTTTCGGCTCCTTGTTTTGTCCAAGGTAAATGTGAAGTTGGCAGGTCAGGACGAATGCTGAAATGGACATGTGTTCTTTGTGGTTGGTGTTGCAGGGAGCATGTTGATTGCCATCTTCTCGTTGTAAGGCTGGCGCCCTCCGGTGACATGGCAGCAGAAGGGGCCGATGTTGCTTCACAGCAGTCCTTGAGCAAAGGTGAGATCTTGGCTTGAAGGCTGAGTAGATAACAACTGAACAAGAATCATACGCCTGAATTAAATGGTAAAAAGATTTCTTAAGAGCAAAATAAGAGAAGACGAGGTCAACTCCAGTTGGGCTCGACGGGTCGACCTTCTCATTCTACATGTTTGCTCTCGTTCGGAATCGGGATCGACAATGATACGGGTTGATCACTCGCATTGAGCAAAATGAGTTACGGGATGTAAAGAGTCCCTCAAACGTCCTTTGTCCTTTCCATCCCTTTCCCGAAGGTCAGGTTCCCGGATGTTCCCGGTTTATGTTTACGTCAGCCGCGGCTTTGGACGTTCAGCGAGCCGAGGCCAATGCTACGACCTTCAGCTTTGGTCCATGGGTGACGTGCCAGGATGCCTAGACCGAGTATCGTAAAGATGTGAACACGATGGGACAAGAGAAGCATAGAAAGAGGCTCTGAAAGAGGATGAAAGAAGAGAAGATAAGAGAAGTTTCTAATAGCTTCTTGTTACTAGTAAGGCACTTGTTACTAGTAGCGATGCACTTGTTTCTAATAGCTTAGTATGGAAAGACATTGACATTTTTCCGGTTGAAAATGGTTCTCTTTGAGGCCACTGCGCTCATGGAATGGTGGAAGAGCCCGAGGTCCGCATCCACGCGGATGAGGCCGCAATGGAATTAAGTCTCGGCTAGCCTTTGGTTGAAGTTTCTTGTTCGCACTCAGAGTGACTTAGAGATTTGCTTCGAAATGGAACTTCAACGACTCGTTCGGTTTCAATGACTTCACCTTCTCATCAAGACGGGAACTGCCGGTCCGACCCCATCATCCTTCGAGCAAAAGCTGCCAGTTCGGGGAAAGAGCTCGTGAGATCGAAACGCAACATATAGAGTTATTCATGGTCTTATTCGTACATATGTATATGTATAACATATATATATATGACATTATATAGTAACATAACATGTTGTAATATACATATATATATATATGCATGTTTCGAGATCTTGAACCAGTGGTGAGGGAAGGTCCATAGCCTTTCTCAGAGACATCAGGGACCTGCCCTACGAGAAGCTATGTTGAGGAAAGATAGAAAAGGGAAGGGACAAGGCTTTCAAGGCATCCATGCACTCACATGTGCTCATATGAGCTCCATGGTCCATTTCGTCCATTTCGTTGATCCGAACAGGAGGTCAGTACTCCACCATTGAAGCTTCGCCCGGAGCCCGAGTGGGGCCCAATTGAGTCATCGACTCCTTTGTCATTATCGAATCGCATCATGTAAAGCCATGTAAAGCCTCCATACAAAAAAAGGCATGTTAGTAAGTAGTTCAGGACGGCATCCTTCAAAATTGAGTGGGAGTCAACTTGAGCAGCTGAGTCATGCCTTTCTGCTTTCTACTACGTACACACCAATCCGGCGATTGGGACCTTCATGAGGCTTTGACAGTGACAACATTGACAAAAAGATGAAAGCGCAAGGGCCTTGAGAAGAGCAAAGTTTGTGTTGTTTAATGATTTGTTTAATAGTAATTACTGATGTGTTTTGTGGGTGGTTTCGGGAAGGTCCTGCGGTCATGAAAAAGTAGACCCCAAGACTCAGTCAAACTTGGACGTTCCATCCGCTGATTGAGTGACCGACCTCGACTAGATTGATGGCTTTGGAACAAGCGAGCTCGCGCAGGTTCTATGTTCTCGCCCTTTTCTTCCTGTGCTTTCAAGATTTAGACGGATGGGCCAAGGACTAGAATGGACTGTTGTTCCCCTTCTTAAATGTAGCTAAACATTGAAGAGTTCCGCCACGTTTGAGCAACTGCCACGTCGGACGACGAGCCCAATTACAATTTACGGCCGTTTCCACTCTTCTTTCACTGGCAAGCAGATAATTTATCAATAACTCCCATATTCGGATTCCTTCTCTCATCTAAAGGTCTGACTTCAAGAAGCCGCCTTTGCAGGTGCCTGTGTCGCTGAGAACAAACAATATAGATGGCACATTGTTCTTTGCATACGCAAGAAACATCAACCTGTTTCATTGGCGTTTCAAACCACTTGCAGATCATTTTCCTGTTGTTTTGCACAGCAGATAGAGATCTCTGTGGTTTGTTTCTTTTGCTTTTGAAGAGATTCAGATTCTCTTGTCTCAAACAAATCCCTCTGTCCAGCTCCCGGAAGCTGCCATCCCGGAGCGTGAGGCAGGGAGACCTGAGAATCACCTGGAGACCTTTCCTTGTGTTTTGAGCCCAACGTCAAAAGGAATGGCTCGACCAAAACCAAATGACTGCATTACGATAAACCTCAGTACATGTCAAAACTGGATTTCACCTCTGACTAATTACATCACAAGCCAATTGGAACTCCATTTGAGCACCCGAGTGCAACAGGGTACAGCAGGGCTTTGAAGATCCACCCTCGACAGGACCGAAAGCGGGATGAGCTGAGCTCGGGGGCCTATAAGCATTAGCGCAAGGACTTGACTAGTCCTCTTAGTTGGAGGCCATCGCTTAGTCTATTTGGATGAGTATATAACTGATCCAAAGTGCAAAGCCTTCGAACTGCACGGCAATCGAAGCAAGCAAGAGGCATTCGTTGCTTCGCCTCAGATTAAGGCAAAGTCTCTCGGTCGCCGAAGAGGGTCCAGTTGCCGGTGATGTTCTCAGTCGGGATAGACTCAATGAGGATTTCAAGACCAACAATTTCTCCATGTGCAGGATGATCAGGATGCAAGTACTTTTTAAGTTGCGGCCAGGCTGCGCCACCCACATGGCGTCAACGACTAAAGAAGGCACGGACGCTGATGTGCTGGGCCGTCAACATCTAAGGTCCAAGAAGTTCCCTGACAAAAGCCTAACAAGTGTTGATGTCCAAAGTTTCTGCCCGGATCAGGTCGTCATGGCTCTCCTTCTCCTTTTCGTGGCTGGACTTGCAACAAGATGGCAAATGCATGCAAATGCAAGGACGCTACTAGGGGCTCCTGAGGACGCTACTAGGGGCTCCTGGCATCGTTACTAGGAGCATCCTGTGAAATAGGACGCTGAGGCTTTGTGTGGTCTTGCACTTCTCGCGGGCAGCTGGCACCTAAGAAGCTGATCCTCACAGATATCCGACACAGTGTCCAACCTGTAGGTTACCCGCTGGCTGAACGTCTCTCCAATGAATTGGAGGAGAGACACGACAAAACGTGAAAAACATGTGTCGATAATGTATTGTTCATAACTCCGATGAATTCATATGAATTCATTATTTCAAGCTGGCAAAAGAGGTGAAGCGCCAAAAAGAAAGTTCCAGAAACCCATGTGCCACGGTGATATGCTCACTAAACCTTTGACATGATATGCCTTCTGACTGTGTGAAGGTCACATGTCAATTCTGTACAGGAGCATAGCTGCAAACTGAGCAGCCCCAATTTCCGTCCAAGCGGCGTCCATTCCTTACTGCCTTCGAAATGGTCGAAGAGAGTGTTCTGCATGTTTGCCTCCTTGCCGAATCCTCCCGACCGAGGAGATCCCGTACGTTCATTCGCAGATGTCTCAGCATTCGACCCCACTTGAGTGCGACAAGTCGGTATCGAAGAGCCCAGCAACCACCCGAATGCGCAAGCTGGTCGCATAGTTGGCTTTGGTATGCTTTAACCGAGTCAAGAGACACTCGACCATTTTGCCATCAGAATTCACTGCTAAATGTGGAAATGAAATGATCTAAGATGGATATTGTTGTATTTTGTATTGAACTCTTGAGGGTCGACCCGACCAAACTGGGTCGTGTGGCAAGGCCTTTGGGTGTCTCTTGTTGGGTGCAGCTGAGCTCCAAGGCTTCGCGGCTTCACAGACGAACTGCTTTGACGAACAGCTTTGATTTTTTTCAGAACAGACAGGTCAGACTGGACGAATCTGTCGACTGGAGGGACCAGGCTGGACGGCTGGACCTTCTCGCATCTCGCCTTCCAGGCTGGAGAGACCTGGTCTCCAGTGCCGGCAAGTCTTCAGCATGGAGGAGGGGAGTGGATAAGTCTTCAAAACCAGAGTAGCATACAACCCCCGGATTCGTTCGACGATCACTTGTGTGGAGGAGTGAGAGTGGCACATCCCCAAGCATGCCCAACCAAAAGTAGGTTGTGCCAGGAAATGTCAAGCCTTCATTGTAGCCTTACAACATCTTACAACTCATCATGCTCAGGATGGACGCTGATTACGTTTGACAATCCAAAGGACAGCAGGGCGTTCGTGAGTTTTCTATGCTAAGTTTCACCATGTTTCACTGCAAAAATGTTCCATGTTGCGGTTTGGTGGTCTCGAGTGTCTTAAGTGGATGAGGCTAAGGGAAGCGAGCTTCTCGCTACACTTTGCGACGCCAGGAGTTCCTCAGTCCACGATCGACTTGTGCCTCTCAGGTGCCACGTTGGTGTGGATCGTGCGGGCGTGGGTCTCAAAACTAGCTTCTTGTTAGCGATGCCCTTTGTTCCTACTAGCTTCTTGCTCCTGATAAGAATGCTCCTAGTAACTTCTTGTTACGTGGATGGTGTGGAATGTGAACTCATGTGTACCCATAGAGCTCCAGACCTGTCACCTGCTCAGGCTGAATTGTCCACGAATGTTGCAATTGTCAGTTACAGTTACGGTTGGGTGATGTCTCAGAAGTCTTTAAGCGCCTACCCAGCAGTTGGAGCTGTGCCTGAGTCTACTTTGGAGCGCAATCTTTGCTGTAAAGAAAGTGTGCAATTTCAAGAGAAATAGGAGAAACTAGTGGGTCATGGGCGCTTTGGTTGCCTGAGTTTGAAATGCATTTTGCTTTTTCTCCCAAAGAGGGGCCGTGTTCACAAGAACATGGGTGTTTGAAAACTAGTGAAGACAAATGTTTCACAGACATCAGCATGAGGTCAGCACTCTTTGTTCCGCTTTGATCTATGCATGCCTTACCGTAACATTCGTCATGGAGTTCTTGAAACTGTTGTGAAGCAGAACATGTTGTGAAACCGATTGATGTTCTACGGCCGATGACATTGTGAACACCGTGTCCCACCCCATATTAGTATATATAATCACATGGCCATGCGACGGCAAGGCTGTGAAACCAATGACGATGTTGTAAATACAATGAATTGATGTTTGTCGTGTTGTGATAACTGATATCAACGACAATCCAATAACATCAGGCAGCTGACCAATCCGCGGGCGACGACTACTTTGCAATATAGTATTGTCATGTATTGCCCGCAAGGGTTTGGAGATTCGGATACTCAGACAGAGCAGATCTCAGCTTGGATCTTGTGACAAAGTCCAGGTGCAACAGCACGAAGGCGCCTTCCGGTGCTTTTTCTCCTCCAGCTCAGAGGCCCCTTTGAGCGATGTTTGCCTCGATCATTTGCGATACGGTCAAGGTATCCACTCAGCTTTTTTGAAGGTGCCAAAACTTTGTACTTTCTTCGGCTCCTTTTGGCAATCTCCTCAAGTGTGTTCAACGGTGACCCCTAGGCCATCCTAGGCCCATGTGTTTTTTCACCGTATTCTTTCGTCTCGGATGTGTCGCACAGGGTGCCAAGCTGGGAGTTTTGACACAGCCGATGCCCTCAGAAGTGGAGCTCCTCATGGTCACCAGGCGGAACAAGATGGGACGTTCTCCCAGCTGAAGCAGAATGAAGCAGATCGAGTATGACATCATGCATTATAATGCACAAATTCTATGGCGATCATATTTGTTTTCTCTTTGTCACTCACATGTTTGTTACTCTAGTTGAGTCATGTTGACTCCTGGTGGTGATAGGTGTTGTATGGTATCGCGATGTAATGCTCCCAGTAGCTTTTTGCTCCTAGTAGTAAGGCCAGAAGCCCCTAGTAGCGTCCTTGCTCCTAGTAGCGATGCCAGGAGCCCCTAGTAGCTTCCTTGTTACTAGGCACAATGCATCTATTCGGAGACTCCGAAACACTTAAACAGACGACCACACAGACGCGACGACAGAAAGGAATCACGATAAAGGAGTCCGTCATCGGCGGAAGTTCGACAGGTATCCGTTGACCCTGCTGGCCTGGCTGGTGTCATGGCCGGTGTTTTTTGTGCTGGCTTTACAAGGCCTGCATTTGGAGGTTGGAAGGCATGATCAAAAATTTGCCATCAAGGAGGTACTAGGGGCTCCTGGCCTTACTACTAGGAGCAAGGACGCTACTAGGGGCTCCTGGCACTACTAGTAGCATTCTTACTACTAGTAACAAGAAGCTACTAGGTGTCAGGCAACGGACATGTCAATCCGTGTCCACCTTCATACTTGCATAGCAGAAACGATATACCCACTTGCACTTCATTTGGGATGAGCATTGAATATCGCCTCAATGGCCGGCTGTTGGACGCTTGGAGACTGCACCTGGCTCACACAGGCAAAGGAACTGCATTGAAGACGGCAGGACTCCGGCTTGATTCTCAGGTAAACCTTCAAAGAAAGAGCCAAACAAGTGAAGGAACTCTCGAAGTCATGAAGGAAGCATTTGAAAGCTTCGACGCTTGGCATCTCCACATGTCCAGATGTCTTAATCCTCAAATGGGTGTGCAAACCCTGCAACCACCAAACTGCTGAATTGCGACAGATCAAGCTTGGGACTTGTCGTTCCGATTCGTTGCAGTCAAGGTGCTTCAGGATCCTTCTGAAGGTTTGGTGCTCAGAGGTAGACAAGACGAGCGATGCGAGTGCAAGTCTTCGACAAACCTCCCAGATCAAACCGACCACGAGACTCCCACAGACATTGACTGATTTTTTGACACCTGTTTGCCTTGTCCGGCCCAAACAGTCCTGAAATTTCCTTGTACCGCTTGTTTGCGGTAGCCATGAGGTGTTGGCCGTTCTTGTCGTTGTCATCGCCGTCAGTGGGCCCGTGGTCCTGGTGACAAGGCCAAGCGATTTCGCCATTTGGATCACAGGAGCAAGCTGTCAGATTTGTAGTTTGCTTGGAGAAGCTTCACATCCGTCACCTGATCTAACCCGGTGTCAGAAAGCAAGGACGAAATATTGTTGTTGTTTGTAAAGGGGATGTTTTGCATACTCTAGTGGTGACTTCAAATAGTCTTGCGCAAAAGATCGGTAAAGTAATAGATTTATACAATGTAATAAGATCTTGTCCACAGCGTGTACCACTTTGTTCGTGTAAGTAGGAATCTTGGAATATTGTTTCATTAAGCATTCTTGCTATATACAAGTGAGGAAAGCTCCCACTTCCTTGTCTTCCTCAACATCTCATTCTTGCCTTGATCCCTCTTCCAGTCACAGTTGCCTTATTACTTATTACTTCTTCCCCGTGGTGTTCTCATGATTGATTTGGTTCCTACATTTTTTGGGAGACTGCACGCTACTTTGAACCCTCAGGTGCCATACATCAGCTGTGGCTTGTCGCTTCCTAGAGGCTTTTGTCCTCTTGTGCCGGTCAGGTAACACGTCGCACGGTTCTTTTTCTCCTTTTGTTTGAGTCGTGTTACCAGTAACGTCTCCGAGTTTTTCGAGTCACTTGTAACAACTGGACGTCCGATTTCTTTTGAGCTCGGTCAGGCATCCTGAAACGCAAGCACTTCAAAAGAGCCTGCAGGCCGAGAATAGGGTTGTGCCAACAAATTTGGAACAAGACATTTGGCATGGTTTGTTTAGCATGCCTTCTACATATGGGCACAGCAGCAACCAATTGTCCAACGTTTGGGTTTAAAGCATTCCGGAAATGCGGCGCAAAGTGTGATAACCAGACCAGACCTGGTGACCTGAGCGGCGCGAGCGGAGTTCGCGTGCACAGGATGGTACTTGCCAACTGCGCTCGAGTTCGACCAGCGAGGTCGGTACTTGGCACTTGGTGCCAGCTGCACAATGTCAGATCACGGTGGCTCAGGCATGGCGGTCACACCATTCGGCATGTTCCATTCGCAACTGCTCAAATCCAGAGAAAGATGTGTAAACAAATGCAGCAAGAGGCCGAAGGAAAGGGCTGGGAGGTTGAAGGATGTTGGAGGACTAGTGTTGAACGCAGGATGATCTCAGGGCCAAATCCTTGGTATTCGCCTATCCGTCCAGGCAGCTTGTGCGATAGTTTGTCATCAGAGTCATATACTATTCGACCAAGTTGTTTTGCTCTATGTTTTAGACATCATGTTTGTTTGTTGCGCTCAAAGTTAGCACAGGAACCATCCTTAATAGTGTTTTGTATTTATTATATTCTTTCTATTTTTTAATGCAACATCAAAGAATCTTGAACCCATCGCTTTTTCCATTAGCGCACGACGAGCGGCAGAGTTCATAGATATGATATAGGGGGCAAAAGCCCAGGTTCGTGTTGCAAGTACAACATGCTGCCAGGTGGTTTGACCTGCAGTGCCCTTGTCGGTGATTACAACATTGGCGTTGTTTTCCGTGCGGGGAGATGCATTTTGAGGTACCACCAGCTCAAGTGTGATGAGCTGGTGAAATCCCTCAGCAAGAGCTTCTCGGTGAACAAAGTCCGGACGGAGATTTGTACTAGCGTCCTTGTTACTACTAGTAAGGCACTTGTTACTACTAGCGTGGCACTTGTTACTAGTAGCTTATTGTTTCTAATGAAGTTCGGACGGTTTTGCCAATTTTCTTGCACCCCCCGAATTGGCCGAGGTTTCCCCTGTGCTGTCGGGGGGCAGACAGCCTACGTCGGGGAGGCGAAGCAGTGGACCTCGGTCTTCCTGGAACTTACGACATTGCAGTTCTCAACTCAGAAGCGCATGGAGAAGCATATGGAAGCAAAGTTGAAACGGCAACAGAGACAGATGGGTGAGTTCAGTTTGTAAAGCTGTTGGGCTGAAGTTGAAGGCAAAGCTGCCCGAGCTTGAACCTTTTGAGCTTCCGCAAAGTATTCTCAAGCGAGTGTCACCTCAAAGCTGCCCGGAAGATCCAAGGGGCAGAAAGCGACAAACGAGAGTCAACATGGTCAGCCCAAGCCACGGTTAGCTACGGCTCACACACCTTTGGGCGAGTCCTAAAGCTCCGGGCAGCGGTTTAGCCCTTTGGCTTCAGCCGACACTCTGCGCCGGTTCGCATATGGCCGTCGGCGAGAAGGCGCTCTCGCGAGTCGTCGTGCATCTTCTCGATTGAACTGGCACCGGTCAAGGTTGGGGCAAGTATGAGGAAACTGAGGAAACTCAAAAAAAGACTGCCTGTTTGATACTATTTCAGTAGTAACCATATTCGATTGATTTTGTTTGTTGGTTCTTGAGAAATCAGCAGTGTGCTTCGCATTTGGTGAGGCCATTGATGCCATAGGCCGCAGACACACCATTGAAAGCGGAGCGAAAACGATACGGAAAACGATTGTAAAAGAGCGTTGAGAAACTTGATGGTGCACAACCCCAAGTGTAGAACTGGCATAATGCCAAGACACTCTCACTGTCGGTTGGTCTTGTGCAGACGATGGGCGAAGCCCTCAAAATCCTTATCCAAACTTGGAGCACACCCCAGTTGGCCTTTCGTCCGGGCCGGGAGTGCTTGAGCTAGTGCCTTGGCAGCCTTGACACGCATGGCCGCCGTGGTTGTTTCATGTCGTTTCCGGCTAGCAGGTGCAGAAGTCAAAAAGGCGCCGGAATTCTGCGGGCTTGACACTTGGTGGTTTTTTCCTCAGGACGTGATGCAAGAGGGACTGGAAGCTTCCGTCGAAATTGACAGATTGTCCCCACAGTCACTTGGACAAAAAGCACTTGGAGGAGCGTGGAGTTGCCCCCCAAATCGGGGACAGGGGCCTCCATGCTTCCCTATCAAAAGGGACTCCAGGGCAGAAGTTGGAAAGTATGTGAACTATACAGAGTTTCTCACGGTGCTCGCAGCGTTTGGCCGCGCTTCATTGGCACTGCTGACAATGCTTTCCTCACCATTGTTTCACGACTCTTTCCTCCAACATTTCACCGGCTGTGCCCCCATACATGGACCAGCTGCACCACCAGTGGTGAGGATGTGCAAAGAAATATTATGGTCCACATGTGGTCGAAAGTATGTCGTTGAACATTCAACAAAAAACATGCACGGGCTGTGCACGGGCTGTCTTAATGCGGGTGCCCATGGCCCATCGCCGATTAGTTGACCAAGGTTGCCTTCAAACTGAATCCAGAAAGATCCAAGGTTGAAGTCTGAAGATCTACATTCTTTGTCAACCTAATAAAGGTTCTTGGACATGTTTGTTCCTTCTGTGGCACTCTATAATCGGAAAGCGCCCTGCGGCCCTGCCTGATTCGAGGTTTGAAAAAGTTCTCACGGCAACTTTGCAGCATTGCATTCCGTCGAAAGTCCATGCACTCTGCCGGTTTGGTCGCCCGTCTTGGGCTCTCGGCCTAAGTCGGTTTGTTCTGCCGATTTTGTGATTGATGGGACTTTCGTTTGAAGTTGCTTGGTCGCTGTCGCTCAGGCTGCTTCGCAGGATGTGAGGACCACATGTTCCAGTCCAGGTGGCGCAGGCACCCGCAAAGTTTGCAAAATGTGTGTTTCAGCCAACACTACATACGAGGCAGAGATTTTAAACCCTTCCCAGTGCAACGTAGATGTAGAGAGCGAAGGACATCTAGTGCCTCAGCTAAGTTGTATCAAAAAAACATCAAAAGGCTCAACAAAGAAATCTAGATGAGGACCATGGACGCTACTAGGGGCTCCTCTTTTTTGGCCGACAAACACAAGGGGCACAAGCCCAAGAGAGCGAAACCGGGTTTCTTGCTGTGAAAGTGCTCGCAGTTTTGGAAGGCGGTTGTTCTGATTATGTGTTTCCCATGTTACCTATATGTTGGCATCCATGTGCGGGATAGCTTGATTTGTCCAATCAATCAAAACAGTTGTCCAGAAGTATTGCAGAATTTGCAAGCACCCAATGAAGACTGTTCCATTGCAAGCTTGAGCTTACTCCCCAAAGACCTGAAGACATAAAATATACAAAAAATCACTCTCAGGGTACATGCCCATTGGGGTGCCCATCGTGCATGCGCAGCTAGGGTCGGTTTACTTGCACGTTTGTTGAAGTGTGCATTTGACCCTGAAACACTGTTATTTAACAAAGGTTCCGCCGCGAAAGTGGTAGGAAAGAGGTATGAACAAAGGCCCAAAGCATTGCTGAAAGCCCATAGCTGATTTGAACGGTACAGGAACCAGGCCAGCACTTCTCACTTGAGTCCACTGCAAAATGGTGAGCGGGTTTTTTCGAGCCTTTCGCTTGCACGCGCTTGAATAGATTTTTGTCTAAGGCCACCGTTTGGTACATGCCCATACGAGATACCGGGTTTTGAACGCAGATGGTGTGTACAAGGCTGTAGGGCTTTGACGCGGAAAGAATCGACGCCAAGCGGCAGAAGTTGCTCCAAACGTTCGCAATGTGTCAGTTTTTCTGCAATCAGGCCGCTACAATCAGATCGCAGATCCGGAAGGTCATCCAGCGGGCGTCCGCTTCGGCCCGGGAGTGGAAATGGATCCTTGGCAAAGCACACAGCGACATTCTGCAACCCCAGATATGAGTGTTTCGAGGATATGATCAACGTGGATAGCCCTCGAACTGATTGTGGTGATTGGTCCTGCAGCTTGGTGAAAGGCCGATCACAAGTTTGGCCGTTGAGCGTCGAAAGGCTGCAGCTCAGGTAGCGCAGATGGATATGGCGGAGATGGTGCATGGGATCCAGACGATTTGTCGCTTTCTTAAAGAGAAGATCTGCAGAGCTGAGTTAATTAACCCATCCAAATAAATGAAGCAGCTGCAGGCCCTTGCAGCAGAGGTGGGAGCTTGTACGCTTGGAGTCGGTGGACAAATAATTACTTCTTCCAAGTCACAGGAATAATCCTAAAGTTAAAGCAATGTTTGTCAGGTTTTAAATGCTGTATAATGCTGTATGTATAGTAGACAAATATATATATATATATATTTCATATATGCTGTTTGTATGTACAGCCCATATATACTCCGCTAGGGTACTGCAGACACGTGACTCTTGATGTGTTTTGGCTCAAGGAGAAAAGGCGTTCCGAAACGTCGAAACTCAGTTTTCATGGTAGCGCGTGAGCCCGGTGAAAGCGAAAGGGACCAAGCGCTGCGCATAAAGGAGGAGAGACATAGCAAGGTAGAGACCTCCGAGGAGGAGGATCAGGAAATCTCGGGAGCGGCTGATTCAGCCGCCCCGAGTGGAAAGGAAGAAAAGGAGGAGGAGCCTTTGCCAGCCACATCAGCGGCAGAATCGGCCGCGAACACCACTCCGGCGGTTGTAGGAACTGCCGAAACAACATCAGCGGTTGAAGGGACCGCGGAAACAAAAGAAGAAGAAGAGACCACAAAAGAGACAGAAGGAGGAGAAGAAGAGAAGCCTGAACAAGACCCCACAGTAGAGCCAGAGGCTGAAGTGGCTGATCCAGCCATCGTCTGGCCGAGTGATCGCCGACTTCATCACATCCCCAGAAGGTGTCAAAACAGGTTGGGAAGTCCGTGGCATTCACACCAAATATACTGAAGCCAAGGTTGATCCCAAAGCGCCTTGGAGGGTGAAGAAGAATATTTGGGGACAGGTCAAGAAGCATCCAGAGCCACAGTCCGGATTCCGACTTCGAAGCAAGACTTCGCTTCAGTACCGGAGGCTCAAGGACCTGGTCAGGTTGCAGAAGAAGAAGGGTGTCATCACAGAAGATCTGAGGAGGCGCATCAAAGAGTTCGGAAAAGGGCGCACTCCACAAGAGATCAAAGAAGAGCGGGAAGAGCAGAGGGTCCGCAATCAAGAGAAGCGGACCAAGAAGAGAAAGACCTCAGAGAAGAGTGAAGCGGCTGGTTCAGCCGAGGAGGAGGTCGAAGAAGAAGAGTCGGTGAGCCAACCAAGTCCGCCTCGAACACCGGACGGGCCACCGCCGGCTAAGCGACCGCAAACCCGCGACACCGAGCGGGGACGGGCGGTCTGGGGACGTGCACTGGAGTTGAACCTCCGCATCGTCGCCCTAGCCAACGAGCGGGCCCAGCGATTGACGATAGAAAATTGGAAATTAGAGAGCCCGTTCCAAGTGCGAAAGCTTGCGGCCGACGAACTTGTCGAGCAACGAGGCCTCAAGGGTACCGTTGCATTGGCCGCCATTCGCGAACTCTGGAAGACCCCCAACGACCAGGGAAAGAGAGGATCCAACGAGGCTTGTAGTTCTTGTGACGAACGACGGCAGGCACAGTTGCCCGTGGTTCAGGACTACATCAAGCGGCGTGGTCTTAAGGGACCTGCCCGCCTCGGATCCACCGCCAAGACAAAGGCGGCACCAAAAGTGAGCCTGACACCTCGGCCGAAAGAGAAGGCCAAATCGAAGGCCGGACCAAAAGGGAAGGCCAAACCGTCAGCCGCACCAAAAGTGGCAGCTAAAGCGAAGGCCACAACTGTGGGCCGTCGCCCGGAAGAACTCACACGGACTACTGTTGAAGTCCGCGGAGTGCCAAAAGCTTCCGATCCTTGACCGGGCGAATCGCCCGCGGCCGCTGGAAAAGGAGTGAGCGGCAGCAGCAGGGTTGAGAGTAGGGAACCATGGAACAACAGATCCAACAGCTGACCGATATGGTATTGCAACTCCAACAGAACCAAACGAGGTTGGAGCAAGAGAACCAAGTGTTGAGGGAGTCTCAAGGCGGGGTATCAATGCTAGCCTCAGCCGTAGGAGAATTGGCTAAGAGCCTTGAGAAGAAAGAAGATAGGCGAAAGACCCAAATCCTTATGGACACCAAAGGTTTGGGCCGCCCTGAGAGTTTTGGGAATGTTGAAGGGGATTTCCGAAAATGGGCCAGGAGCATCGACAACCTGTTCATAACTACCTTTGGGAGAGAGTTCATTGAAGTTCTTGAGTATATTTTGGAACAGGAAGACGCGATTGAAATGAGTGCTATGGAGTCCGCGTTTGGGACTGGAACCATAGCAGCTATGGATGATCTAGAGGATAAAGCTGATCAAATTCATCGCGTGCTCCTGACCCTAACCTCAGGTGAAACAGAGGATTTGATGGTAGGAGCTTCAAATGGGTTTGAAGCATATCGGCGAGTTCACCGCCGTTGGGATCCCCGAACCTCGGGACGGAAACGCAATATACTTCGAGCGATTCTCCAACCGGAGAGAGTCAAGACATGGGCCGCGGTGAGGCCAGCGATCGAACAGCTCGAAGAGCTCATCAGGCGGCACGAGTCTCGGAGGGATCAGGGAGACTCTATCGGACGACATCAAGTCCGCTTCATTGGAGATGCTGGTACTCCCAGATTTGGAGAAACATCTTTTGTTGAACAAGAGTAGATTGACAACCTCTTCGTTGATCAAACAGGAGATTGAACTTGTCATTGAAACATCCCTCACATCAAAGTCATCTGTTCCAAAACCAGGTTCATCAAGTTCGAGTTATCAAGGACCTCAACCCATGGACGTCGATTCGATCGGACAATGGATCGCAAGCCTGGTCGGAAAAGGTAAAGGAAAAGGTAAGCAGGCCAAAGGTGATGGAAAGAAAGGCTCAAGCAAAGGGGGCTCAAGTAAAGGCTCAAACTCGGCTCAAGATATCACCTGCTATAATTGCGGTAAGAAGGGACACCGAGCGGCCGATTGCTGGAGCAAGAAACGGCCGGATGGAAAAGGCGATAAATGGTCAGGTTCAGGCAAAGGAGACAAGAGTGGTAAAGGTGGCAAAGGCAATAAAGGCAAAGGTGGACGAAGCGGCAAAGGTAAAGCCGCAGGAAGTATGGAAGAGATGGACGATCCGGATGATGGCGTTGAGCCAGCTCCGGAGGCTGATGTCGGAATGCTGATGGCAGACTTGAGTGGAATTGGAATGGCGGACACCTCATCCGCCGAAGAATGGATGAAGTTTAACCTGGACACTGGAGCAGCCCAGACAGCCATCCCGAATGGCTGGGAGGATCGAGTGGTTGTCAGTGAAGGCAACGGAGTTGTATTCAAGACTGCATCAGGAGAGTTGGTGCCCAGTCAGGGCATTGGAACCTTTGAAGGGTTCGATGAGAGCGGCAACAAATGCCGCGTGAAAGGTTCAATGGCTGATGTTCACAAGCCATTGATTTCAGCGTCCAAGTGCTTAGGCTTTGGAAGGATTGCAGTTCTTGATGCGAATGGCGGAAACTTGATTCCGCAAGGGTCCAAAGTTGGAAAGGCTGTTCAGGTGATCCTGGAGAAAGCGAACGCTGCAGAGCAGCGGAGTTGGATCCCTGTATATCAGGAACAGGGAGTGTACAACTTCTACTTGAGGAAGCCAGGGTATAAACCGACAAAGGAATGCTGTGGCATCGCAGAGTTGAACGCCACAGGAGAAAGAGGAGATGCCTCTATGGATTCAGGCCGACCTGGTCCAGAGGGGCGAGAAGAAGATGATGAGTTGGAATTAGTTGATGAGGTTGAGAAACCTATCCAGATAAGAGCTCCGGAGGACCCAACTCCGGCTGAGATTGAAGAGCACGAGGCGACAGGCCATGTGCAGTATCGAAGTTGGCGCCGGCATTGCATTGCTGGACGGGCTGTGGGACAGCCGCATCGGACAAGGTCCGAGGAACAGAAGGCAAAGAGCCTTATGCCCACAGTGGCAATGGACTATACGTTCATGTCACGGGGCGGTGTGGAGGACGAGCGAGTGAAGCCGATCCTCGTAGTGAAGGATGAGAGGACACAGTCCTTAGCGGCGACCTTCGTGGACTCGAAGGGAGCGACGCCGTACGCAGTGAAGTTCGTGGCGAACTTCTTGAAGAACTTGGGACACCGCAAGGTGGTTCTCAAGTCGGATGGTGAGCCATCCGTGGTAGCCTTGAAAGAGGCAGCGGCGAAAGAAACCAGCATAGACTGGGTTTCGGAAGAGTCGCCAGTAGGAGACCATCAGGCGAATGGTCTGGCAGAGAACGCCTGCAAGGAGATCAAGCGTCAAGTACGAGTTCTCCGCAGCGCGTTGGAAGAGAAGCTCGGCAAAGAGCTTAAAGATGATGATCCTGCATTGGCATGGCTGCCAAGACAGGCGGGAGACCTGTTGAGCAGGTACAAGAAAGGTCAAGATGGCGGAACGCCTGAGGCCAGAAGATGTGGAAAGCAATGGCGAAAACCTGCCATAGCTTTTGGTGAACGCCTATACTTTAGAGAAGTAGGCGAGGGAGTTCGCATCCTGAAAGAAGGACGCTATGTAGGGCACCACGGCCGAACAGGATCCATTTTGGTGATGACGGCCGATGGCGTGCGCAGAGGCACAGGAAAAAGGCGACTGAGTTCAGCCGACCGCTGGGACCCAAGTGATTGGGACCTTTTGCGGGGCTTACCGTGGGAGCACTCCGCGGCAAGGCCTGCCGGTGAGCAGTTGATGCTCGAAGAACGACTTGTGGTACCACCTCCCAAGGAGGAACGAGTGGCACCACCACAGCAGAGGCGAGTGTACATCAGGAGAGAGGATGTGCACAAGCATGGAGCCACAGAAGGCTGCCCAGGATGCAAGTGCATCTTGGAAGACAAGAGGACGACCTTGCCGCACACAGAGGCGTGCAGAGCAAGGATCACTGAAGCAATGGAAAAGGATGAAGCAGGGCAAGCAAGACTTGAAGCCCATGCGAAGAAGAGGAAAGAACGGCAACAGCTTGACACTGTGAAGCCGAAAGTCGTGGCCGACAAGGACACCGACATCACGGCCGAAGACGCGGCCGGAGAACCAGAGAAGAAAGAAGAAGCAAAGAGCGCAGGGTCGGGAAGCCCGCCGCCAACAGCGGCAGAGGGTGAGAAGACCTATCCCGATGACCCGAAAGAGAGATATGAGATGAAGAGGCAAGCAGCCGAGATAGAGAAGAAACCAGTGGCAAAAGCCAAGGTAGCAACAGAGCCCAAGAAGAGAACAGGAGAACTTAGGATAGATCCACCTGGGGCAAAGGTCAAGCCGAATCCAGCTCAAGGAACAAAGAGGACGGCAGAGACCGCCGTAGAAGACCTTGATCCCAGGGTGGAAGAGAGTCCAAAGAAAACTGAGACGTTTTCGTATGTTCCAGAAACACCACCAGTAGGGTGGAAGCCAGATGCAGCAAGCTTGGTAAAAGAGAAGGAGATCGCAAAGCAGCATCTGAAGAAGATCATTCAAGGAACCTATGAGGCGAACGGCATCGAGATCTCTGAGCAAGAGATCGGAGACATCGCGCATTTGAGTATGCAGATGTCAGCAGTAGATGTCATGGAAATCTACTCGCCCAAAAGGTTCACCGCACTTGCAGAGCGGTACAAGTTGCGACCGGGTTTTGCGGTCGACTTGAATGAAATGAAAAGCGATGGAACATACTGGGACTTGAACAAGTCCGAAGATGTTCAAGAGGTGCACGATATCCTTGAGAAGGACGAACCGGCTCTTTTGACTGGTTCGCCTCCGTGCCATATGTTCTCGCAGCTCCAGAACCTCAACTGGAGAAGCATGGCACCGGATGTCCGGAGGAAGAAAATGGACGAAGCCGTCCACCATCTTCATACGAGCGTAGAGCTGTATGTCAAGCAGCATCGCTCAGGAAGGAAATTCCTCCATGAGGCACCTTGGTCCGCAACTAGTTGGAAGGATGAGAAAGTTGCGGCCTTAGCAAAAGAAATGGAGTGTTCGTAGTAAAGGGTCCAATGTGCAGGTGGCAAATGATGGCCACTGACCGAAGAGGGCTCCAAGGCACCGGCTATGTGAGAAAGGAGACCGGTTGGATGACCAACGATGAAGGGTTGGCCAGAGTCTTGCAAGGAGTCTGCTCGAATGAATCGGGCAAAGGACCATGGCACCGACACATCCATCTGATCGGAGGCATCGCTAGGCAGGCAGCGGTATACCCACCGCAGCTCATGAAAGCAGTGCTGAGGAGCCTGCGTGACACACTAGCCGAGAAAGGTGAGTTGAACACCTTTGATCTGTTTGCAGCAGGCCCAGTTCCAGAGATGCCTCTGATGGACCCTGAGTTCGAAGAAGTCTACATGGATGATGTGAACGGCGGCATTTTGCCAGCCGAGAAAGTGAAAGAGGCAAGACGCCTTGAGATGGATTATTTGAAAGAAAAGCATGGGGTTTATGTGCCCCGACCGAGAGCCGAATGTTTTGAGGAAACGGGGAAGCCCCCGATTCCAGTCAGATGGTTGGACACCAACAAGGGAGATCCAACAAACCCGAACTATAGGAGCCGATTAGTTGCGCGTGAGATAAAGGCAAGAAAGACCAAAGAAGAACAATTGCCAGCCAACTTGCTTTTCAGCAGCACGCCCCCATTGGAGGCGATGAGACTGCTGTGCTCGTTGTGGGCAACAAAGAGAAAGTCCTGCCACAACCAGCCGCTGAAGCTGGGCTTGTGGGACATCTCACGAGCACACTTTTATGGAACTCCAAAGAGAAAGATCTACATAGAGCTGCCGCCTGAGGACGAAGCCAGCAAAGATGGGCAGACCTGTGGACTTCTCGTGAAGTCGATGTATGGAACACAGGACGCTCCAAATATCTGGCAGACGCACTACACAGAGACTCTGCAGAAGGCTGGTTTCCGCAGAGGCTTGTCAAATGCGTCAGTCTTCTACCAAGAAGCTTGGGACGTCAGAGTGACGGCGCATGGAGATGACTTCCTAGCACTTGGAGACGCTCAACACTTGGAGAAGCTCAGCCAAGTCCTCAAAGATGCCTATGAGCTGAAATGTCTCGGAATTCTTGGAGACGAGGATGGAGACCGAACAGAAGCTCATTTTCTGAATCGGTTAATCCGAGTTGAGAAGAAGAACGGCAAAGGATCGATTGTGATCGAAGCCGATCGGAGACATGTCGATCTTTTGATCCAGGCATTTGGTCTGGAGAAGGCAAATGGTGTAGAATCACCAGATGTCAAGAAGTCGGCAGATCAGCAGATGCTGGAAAGCCGCAGTCCGCTGCTTGATAAGAGCGAGGCATCGAAGTATCGTTCAGCTACGATGCGTGCTGCGTATCTGTCCCAAGATCGACTCGATATTGGACGCGCAGTCAAGAACCTTGCTCGAGGTATGGTATCACCAACAGAAGCCAAACTTGCTGACTTGAAGCGTCTCATCAGGTACTTGAAGAAATATCCTGATGTTGGGCAATGTTTTGGCTCGCAACAGACACCCTCAAGGCTGAGGGTGCAGGTCGATGCCGACCATGGTGGTGACGCTGTGACGCGCAAAAGTACGACTGGCATGGTTGCCATGTACGGCATGCACGTGTTGAAACACAGCAGCAACATCCAATCTACCATAGCCCTTTCCACAGGTGAGAGTGAGTACTACGCACTTGTGAAGGGAGGATCTGTGGGCTTAGGCCTCCAAAGCCTATGCGCAGACCTTGGGTTGGATTTGGGAGTCACCATCGAAGGCGATTCCAACGCAGCCAAAGGAACTGTGAATAGAGTGGGTTTGGGTAAAGCCAGACACATCCAGACTCGCTACCTATGGTTGCAAGAAAGGGTCGCCGAAGGCCACTTGAAAGTGCACCACGTTCCAGGTGTCAAGAATAGAGCCGATGTGTTGACCAAATCGGTTCCTGGGGTGCAGCTTCGCAAAACCATGGAGGACCTGCAGTATGCATTCCTCAGCAAGCGAAGCAAAGGACAGTTAGATGTTTTGGAGTAAGGTCCCTGGCCAAGCTCCACTACCACAACTGAAAGTGGCTAAGCAGCGAAGAGTTTCACATGTTTCTTTTTAAGCTTGCGCAGCAGTACAGTGCTTTGCAAGAGGAGGAGTGTTTGTATGTACAGCCCATATATACTCCGCTAGGGTACTGCAGACACGTGACTCTTGACGTGTTTTGGCTCAAGGAGAAAAGGCGTTCCGAAACGTCGAAACTCTGTTTTCATATGCCTTAAATTCCTAATGATGATTGAACTGTCACTCAATGCTTTGCTGCGCATGTTTCGCTCAGATGCCCATCGCTGGAAATTGGAGCCATGAACTCCAGCGAGTCCTTTGGAAGGCTTCAGAAACAACACCGGAGTATAGTGACGAATAAAAAACTGAGCAGGTTTGTTACTGCAGAACTCCTTCGATAAAAGGACGGGACTCTGAAACATTTGGGCTTGGCTAACCTGGTCAGGACAAGAAGTGATCGAGAGTTTGGAACTCAGCAACGCACAAAGAGAAAGCAGGTTTCAATTCCAACACGTTCCATCGTGTTAAAACATGTTCAAACATGTTTCCATGGAGTTCTCAGTGAACGCTTTTTGCCAGGGCATCGACCAAAAAGAGCACAGACGGCTCCTTTGTGTCCAATGGTTCCATCGTCAGTTTGGCCAACTTGAAGCGTCTTGGTTTGAGCATTTTTTGGATGGACGTGTCAATGCCTGTTTGTGAACCTGCTTCAGATCCTTGGAACAATTTTCAGATTGTGCATTTGGATAGCAACATATATTCGGTTGACTTTAGGAAAAACTACATTTCGGAGCACTTGCAGAAGTCCAAAGATGCTGCATACAAGCGACGCATACGTATCAGTGGCGTCATGGGCTTCTTGGGCATCATGTGTGTGCCTTGAACAAAAAAGGACAAAATCAAAATCCACTGTTCAACTGAGTTCTTGCTCTTCAAACTGTCCTGTTTGGAGCTACAGTGATGTTTTGGCCTGTAAAGGAGGTTGCAAGCTGACCCAACATGCACCAAGAACTCTCGTGGTAGGCAGGCCTCTTATCGACCCTCTTGCAATCAAAGCAACGGAGGGAAAATAGACCCATGTTCAGACTCCATTTGAAATGCATATCACAGTAGGAGCAAGGACGCTACTAGTAACAGGTGCATCGCTACTAGTAACAGGTGCCTGACTAGTAGTAACAAGAAGCTATTAGAAACAAGTGCCACGCTAGTAGTAACAAGTGCCACGCTTCTAGTAACAAGAAGCTACTAGGAACAAAGGGCATACTTTGAGTTCAAATCGTAAGTTTGTGTTCGCCGGACCCAGGCTTCTGAGAATCGAAATAAAAAAAGCAACAAAAAGCGGACCAAAAAACAAAGACAAATGAAAAAGCAAAAGCCAAAACAAGCAAATACAAAAAGCAAAAAAAAACATTGACAAAGCAAAAGGAGAAAAAGCAAATGAAAAAGCAAAAGCAAGTGTCCGCCTTTTTTCGCTTTGTTCGCTCGTTTTCCGCGTTTTTGCTTGCCCCCATTTTCTTTCGCATTCCTTTTTTGGTGTTTATGTGTTTTCCTTTTTTGGCTTGTCCGCATTTATTCCGCATGGGGTTCGTCCTTTTTTTCCGCTTTGTTTGCTTTTTTGTTCGCTTGTTTACTTCGCTTTTTGCTTTTTCGTTTGTTATTTTTTGCTTTTTGGATTTGCTGGGTGTTTGCTTTTGTTTATTTTATGTTTTTTCTTTTTGGATTTGCATTTGTTTGTGTTTTCTGTTGCTTTTGTTGCTTTTTGGATTTGCTTGTTGTATGATTCAAAACCATCAGAGGTATGCTAAGTGGTTAACATAATTGTAACTCAATCAAGATTGGCAATTGGTGTCCCCAGTGTGTTTGTGTGTAGGTCAATCTTTGTACAGGAAGTGTTTCAGGTCAGAAGTCAAGTGCTTTCCCCTTTTACCTTTGGCAAACACAGTTGGACGTGTGCAACACGGACCTTGTTGGGTGCTGTGTCTCGCTTTTTGTCGAACAATCAGCACCAAGCAGATTTGCCGGAGAGCGGGTGAGTGCGGCATTGGTCCACGCTCAACGAAGCTGTCACAATTATGGGATACACAAGTGTGTCAAACAAGTAATTTTTAGCACACCTGCTTAGAAGGTTGCTTTAGCCACTCTAAAGGTTGTCGTGGACAGAGGTGACAAGGTTTTTACGTTCGGTCGAAAAATTAAGACGGCAGGCCGATCACCTGGACCAACGGCTTGGCCTAATGTTATTTCTCTACGACTACGGACTGTTTCGTATTTCGGACTACCCTATTCGGTTCGTCGAATCAGTAATCACAGTCGCAGTCAACACGTCGCGTGTTTGCAAGACACAATTCAGAGTGCATGGGCACATGGATGGCATAGGCCAACGAAGGCCCATCCAAGTTGCTGCGCAAACATAGCGTGCATGGCTGGGCTAAGCCCCGAACCCATGTCCATGAGCCGGCACTAGAACAGTCACTGCATATTATGGAAACACTGAGGTTCGAGGTCCCTTCACTAGTTTCATGAGTCTTTACCACCTTGACTTGTAGGCCGTTGTAGGCTGTTTGCCGCCACCCCACGTTTTTGTTCCCCGACCTCCGAGAATGTTCAGTGTCATTCGAAGGCATTTTTGGCGTGCGCTGGCGTTCTAGCGCACCGGGTTGGGGGCGACTCAAGACAAGATCCCATAAGTGCCTTGGATTTTGATCACTGCCTTGTTTTTCGTGCATTGCAATTTTGTAAGTTTGAAGTATGCACACACGCACACATCCTGCAGTCGCCTTTCCCCACACAAAATCTATGTGGTTTTGGTTCATAAACTGCTTTGTATTCAATTTTCTTGACGTATGCTACAGCCCGCAATGGAGACGCAATTCAGTGTGACTGGCAACCTGAGGCTAAGAGCAACTGGAAGTTTAAGGGCAGACCCCACAAAACCTGAAGTTTTTGGAGAATGATCTAAAGGCATAGCCTTTCTGTCCAGTTGTATTGTAAAGTAATATAACATCCATGATCACATTTGAAGGTAAAACCGACAATTTGTCACATTGCTCATTGTCTCACCTAGAAGGCCAGAATCCACAAAGCAAAAGCTGGTATTAGCAAGTAATTTGTAGACCACCATCAGCTGGAAATTACAATTGAAACATTGGTCTTCAAGGTCTGTGGTGCTCCATGTAAAGTTTCGCCTAAGGCTCTGCCTTGCTCCGCTCCATTTCCAGTACCATCGTCCTCGTGGGACTTTTTGCTTTTCTCTTAGCTTTGCTGCCCACAGACCGCCGTGCAGTGCCTGTCACTTGGCGGCCTGGGAGGACAAGCAGCTAAAGCCAAACCACTGTGGGCTACTGCGTCCAAGATATCCATGAAATTGATGCCTATTGAAGAGAATATGATCCTGCGGCCACACAGAAGCAGTCCAACATGCTTGACTCGGCCCTGTGAACTGTAGCACTGTAGCACCTTTCAGTTGCCGGGTCAATAAAGACATACTCAAAGGGTAGTTTGCGGGTGGTTTGCTTTGAGTTCAAGCACGGAAAGGACGTGCTTGATTTTAGGTAAGACACTTCATGTGGACAGGGTAGCAGAGCACGGCAATGTCATTGTTTCGGTACAGGTGGGGACCTGGATCTTCATAGTGCTGCTGGCCTTCATGGGAGGTGCGGCCTGAGATCTCAAACCGTCAGTTTCCCTCGAGCCAAATCGTTCGTCAGGTGTTTCGCTGAACTCCAGCACGCGCATGATCAGCAGTGGAGTCCCTGGAGAGGAGGTGGGCAGAGACTGTTGATCAGATGAGAACAGGTTTTCCGCGGATTTCCCAATGAGGGAGACACAGGCCCATCTTGGCCCATCGATGTTAAGAAAACTGGCCGCTCTCGGTTCAACAACTGTTCAAAAAATGTTCAACGCTTTCGGTAACAAGAAATGTTCAACCGAGGCAAAGGGGAGATCGACGGCTGCAAACGTGTGCCAAAGCATCGCCATTGCGAGCCTTGGAAAATTTTAGCCGTCTCCAACGGAATAACATCAGGTATTTGGTTTCAGGAATTCACAAGGAACAAGGAGATGAAGAAATAACGGGTGTACAACAAGCAACCTCGGCACAGGGAGAGCATTGCATGGTTTAAGGATTCCTCTCAATGCTTTTTTTGCCCCTATCAGAGCTTAGCCCCTCTTGGTGGGCTCGTTGCCAAGGTTGATTGGTTGCATCTACCTGGCGTTGGCCTGCTATTTGATTGTGCAAGTAACTTGCCGATCACATTTGACAAAGCGTTTGCTTTCGAGGACGCAACTCCACGTTGCCGGACCAGTGTACTTGTCATGTGCAACTCCGCACGCCCATGGCTTGCCAGGATGTGGCGCACCGCTGCCGGCGTTTATGCGACTGTAGTGCACGGGGTCCTAGTTCAGTTGAAGTGCTTTGTTTTGAGTCCGAGACTTGAGGGCCAACTGGCACACTGTAGCTGCTACTGAATTCTCTTCTTTAGTTCCCAAAGAGGAGAGAAGATGAATGTCTTCGATTGTGTAGTCTAGGCTAGACTTTGGCAGGAAAGTCTGTTTTGCTAGGCTGTTTGCCCATATCCGAAAGGATCCAAAAGGCACTGGCGGTACTAAAGTATACTGGAGTGGCGAAGAAAAAATGTATAGCACTTCCCGAGGTGCATAACCCTCACAGAAGCGATTCTGGAGGGCATTTACGACCTGTGGGGCCTCGCCTGGCTTCTGGCGGGGAAGACGGATCAGCATCCTATTTGTCGCTTGTTATGTAGGCTATATGCTAAACAATGATTGAATATACTGTAAATATACCTAGCTTCTATAGCTGTTTAGCTTTCTTGTTGCTTGGCTCTAATTTTATCATGCACACTGTGATTGCATTTTTGGGTCCGAGCACCCTCACGCAGACCTCAGCGACAGCGCTCAGCTTGACCCTAGCCGCGCGGAATAGAGACCTGCGCAACAAGATCCAGAACTGTGTAGGCCCAAAGCCAAGTTGATGCGCAACTGTTGTGATGCATGAAAATATTGCCATTGGGCGTGTTTTGACACAAGAGGATTGGACAAGACCGACAGATTTGCGCCTTCTGATTAGTTCAATATGGGAAGATTCAGAGATTCAGTCTAGAAGCACTTGGAATACAAGTTGATGGGATTTGGGGATACATGCTAATCTCATCTACAGTAATCTCTAGGTTCAAGCTCAATATAAATCTTTCAGACACCTGCATGGCACACTGCGTGACGGTTTGTGAGGTGCCCACGGTGAGTCTGCGGGTTTCGGTGCTGCTGTAGCTGCTTTAGTCGGCCGGTTCACGGTTGATGAGGCGGGTCGACAGTCAGTGCTCCACTCCACTATCCGACTACCGTAAGCTGAGACCTGGCCTGACATGCATGGCTTATCAATCAGAATATGTGTGGCAACGCTGCTAGAATGGAGTTTAGACGTACCAGGTCGTAGCATCCAGGTTTGCATTGAGTTCATGTGGTAGACCGTGAGCCCAGGAAGCCTGATGCCTGAAAAAGGGGTGTCCCACCGCCCGCCCGCCCGCCTGCACTTTTATGATAGAATTCCGAACGCATGACTGCATGCAAGGTGCTCGAACAGGCACGCTGCAGCTTCTACACCGTGTCATGGCTGCGGTCGAAGCAGACGTGTTTTCAGTGTTTTGCGGACAGTAGGATGCGATCATTTCACATTTCAAACACCGTGGCCCCGCATACTTTGCTGCATCACGTGCTCCCCACCATAAATCATCAAAGTGATGCCAGTGAGGTCAAAGCTGATCGCTTGAAGATGGAGCACATCATCAGCAGCCAACCAACTCCAGAGCCCATGTCTTAGATGCGCTTTGAATCCGTCTTTGCAACGAAGTCGGAGAGCTGGGTACGGTGAACGTCAACCAAACGATTGCGTCTTTGGCTAAGAGTCCAAAGACGCGTCTCCTGTGCTCTTGTTAGTACTCAGGGGCCTTGAGAGAAGCAAAAGGGATCTTTCCGTGTGAAAAACAAGGAGCAAGCTCCCTATTCCAGGCCAAGAAACCACATGGGCTTGCTGACGCTAAGGCTGAAGCTGGGGCAGCTCGCGCGGCGTACACGGCTGGGGGAGGCGGATGCCTTTATTAGCCATAGTTGGTCAGACGATCCCTTGGCCAAGTGGCCACTGGACGGCAGGCGGTGAGATAGTGAGAGATTGGGGTTGAAAAGGACAGGTTCATGAAGTTCAGTGCGATCTCTTCCCTTCACTTCCTTTAGAAGCCTTTGTTACTAGTAGCTTCTTGTATTAGTAGTAATGGCCTCCAACCTACTAGCAATGGCCTCCAACCTTTATATAAGCCTTCAAAGAACGCACAAACAATGGAGACTGGATGGCCAGAGTGGCCCTCAACTACAACGGAGATAGAAGCAACACGATCCCAGGACGTCAAGTACTGTTTGCAAGGGCTTGCCTTACATTGTTTGACAGTCAGTTGTCCGTTTCAACAAGACCTTGGAGACGCACTGAGGAATGCCATCCAAGCCTTCCGGAAACGTTTTAAGAACCAGCACAAGGTGGAACCAAAGCTGTGGATTGACAAGTACTGCAGCTTGGAAAAACAATCAGTCACGGGCCAGGACTCAATAGTCATTTCACAAATTGCACCGGCCACTTCGGCTTGTCTCGCGCTTCGAGAACCCAGATCTCTGAGGCATTGATCAGAGCGATTTCCAGAACTCCTTGGCCACTGGACTTACAGAATTGCATTCAAGTAGAATTTGAAAGTGATTTTTTTGAATTCTTACTGTTTGCTTGCTCCAACTCCAAATCCGCGAAGTGAAGACGAAGACTGTGAACATGTGTCTGGTGGAAAAACTCCAAGTGCTGGGTCGTTCTGACAGGTAGGCGGAATACTTCGTGACGTACCGTGACGTCCGACACGAGTCGCTCGAGTCGCACGAGTCGCACGAGGCATGTTTGCCGATTTATTTGGCCTCTTGCAGCAAAATGGTGGTGATTTGTGGCGAAAGCTACCTCACCAGGCGGGAAAGATGGGAATCGTCATGTGTAAGGACAGATCCGCAAGCACAAACTTCGTTTGGGTCCCTTGGTTTGCTCATGTCGAAGCCTTTGAGACTTACATGAAGAGGTACAAATGTATGATAATGTATGGAGTTTTACAGCAAGAGTTATGACATGCAAATGTGGAGACTCAATGTGGCTCCTGAAGGCTGTGGTGTGTCGTGGAGCTCTTTGTATTTTTGGAGATGGGTGGATCTCCAGAGAATTTGGAGCTTTGGCAGATCGATGGTTGGGGTGTTCACTGATCGTATCTGATCATCGATCGAAGATGATCAAAGACAAAAACCACATGCTTTGTTAATACTATTAATACAGTGGTGAAGTCCATGTCTGGGTATAGATTAGGATTACAGAACAACTCTTCGCAGCAATGTCAATGAGTTTGTTTCTTTCTGACGACCGATAATAGGGTAGATGTTCAGGGCACCAATGCATTTTGTTCAAGTTCAAGATGTTGTTGCCCTATGTCGTGTTGGATCAATACGCCCACTGACAGCACCACCGGATATTGATATTGTTTGTCCACAAGATTTGCCCAGTTTGTTGCCTTTGAGAGGCGTTTCACTGCCAAGGAGGTGATCATGTTGCCAGATCCCGGGTGCATCGTGGAACAGATTCAGAACTTCCAGCCCTGGAACCTCCATTGTTCAAAAACCAACGTCGCAGAAGCTTGGCAGCTAATATACAAGTTTGGTCAACATCGAGTGAAGACTTGGGAACTGCGCAACGGGTCCGAGGAAGCTAGGAATCCTGACTCCCCCTTTACCTTTCATGTGCATTATATTTTAGTGTGATCTTTACGCCGTCTGAAAGTGTCTTGTCCCATAAGAAGATCTGGGCTTTGTGTGGTTTGAAGCGCGTTGTTTTAATCTTCTTCGACATAGGCGCGGACAATTCGAATCAACGTTGATCATAAGTGTAATTAAATGTCCCAAGCTTTGTCTTACCTCACAGCCTGTGATGCTTCACACTCTTTCAGGAGGAAGACCTCCTGCAGAGCGTTTTGGAAGCAGGCAGTAGTGGCTTTGATGGGATCCGCAAATTGGTTTGGGAACGCTTCAATCCGCAGGCCTGGATTTGGAAACACTCATCCGCTGCAGAGCCTAACTTTTTGGCTTGGGTTCACAGAGGGCGATCTCTCCCAAAGATTGTACATCTGAATGAACACGCTGTAGTCATGAAGTTTATCTTATGGCATTATCATTGCAAATCATGAGTTTTGAAAGGCTTGATTTGTCTATTGTTGAACTGTCAACTACCGACTTTGTAAAGTTGCTTCCATCCTACGGTGCGTTTTAAACCGAATTGGTTTGGGATGAAAATGGATGAAATATGAACGACCCGAAAGTGTTCTTGGCTGTTGGACCCGAAAGTGTTTGAGACACTCTTGCAGAAAGTGCAGTGGGTGGAAGGAACTGCTTGGAGAAACTGTTCCAGAAAGATCTCCTTTGCTTTATAGCAAAAACAGCGAAGGTGTGAATTATTTGAAGGATTTTGACCCTGAATCTAGTCAATGTCAGGCGCGGCATGAGGAGCAGCGGGAACGGTACCAGCACGAGAAGTCTGCATTTTCTCACGTCTCCGACATCTCCCAAAGAGAGGAGAAGAGAGAGGAGAAGACGTCCGAGGCAACGAAATTGTTGTTTCTATCTTTTTTTCCGAAGGGCCTTGAAGTGTTTTATTCGGAAAAGAATGATCTCGAAAGGAACTCTATCGCATGGAGCTTTTGTCAAACGCTTGACACTAGGATTCTATGTTTAGAGGATGTGCCAAGCAACTACTTAGCAGCCAAGGCTTCGACTACACTTGGGTAGTTCCAACTAGCATTCCATTTGTGAGTTACAGCCGACATTGCTCGGAGAAACGACATTGTTTGTGCTGCGTGATTTGCATCCGGAAGGTTGGGTCATTCTTTTCCATTTGACGCGATTGTTTCAAGGACGGGCGTTACTTGAGTGTGCGAAGCGTAGAACGAAAGAATAATCGAAGAGGACGTTCGTGCCGACACGGAGAGGAAGAATAAGGAAGGGACATGGTAGACTCAGTAGACCATATTGTTAGTTTAGGAACAACTTTATCTGGTAGAGAAACAAGAAGGGGAATAATCGTACTTTCAGGAACCTCATAGTAGGATCCATCTACTTGTATGCATCGTTGAAAAGGATGCAGCTATGAGAGTCTCACATCCTGACATGTTCAATCCCATCACTGTGACATTGATGCCATATTATTGATGAGCTCATTTCGACTAGGAATCAATACTGTGCTCAATCGATGCTTCAGTGAGACCAGACCAATTGAGCTGAACGCCACTGGGAACTGGAGTTGCCCAGATTGCACGGGCAGTTGTTGCCAGAAACCCAAAGGAAACAAAAGTAGTTTTTGCTTGAAGATGATGTTTTGATTCTGCGGATGTCAAGAGTCGATCAACCGATGGTTGGCTCCTTTCATTAAAAAGGTTGGCAACAATTCACGCCTGGGGTTTTAGAAAGACAAGGATGCGGCAAAGTGGAGGGTGCATTGACAGTTTTTCAACCGCGCCAAAGGCAAGTTTCCACTGTCAATGCCAAAAGACTCCCTGGGGTACTCTGATGCTGCAGTAACGACCTTTCTCATCGAGTTGCAGAACAAACAACGACAACAACAACTACTACTACTACTACTAACAGTCATGTGTTTTTGCATTGGCCCAATTTCCAAACTAGTATACTAGGATAGACTAGGCGGTGAAGAATTGCAGCATCAAAAGACTCAAGACCCCAAGAGGAGAGTTCTTTGGATGCAGGCTTCTGCAGCAGACCGATAACTGCAGGAAAAAGTGGGAGACACCAAATCTGCACCCAGGTCATACCTGGCTTACAACCTATATAAGAATAGAAATGAAAGCGCGGCTCTTCACTTCGAATGTTTCACCTGACTGTGACGTCTTTCCCTTTTCAGGTTTGAGCATCCAGTGGCCTTGGAAACTTGGACGGAAATGCTTTCCACGGTCGTCTACCAACGTGGGAAAACCTGGTACCCGAGGAGATGTGGTGCCTCTCAGTGATTGCCACATTGGCTCCAGACTCAGTGTGTTGAGAGTCGGTTCTTTTCTTTTAAAAGGGGAGGTAGGCCGTAGTAGTAGGCTTAAGTAGCTAGACTAAGAAAGTTAGTTAAGCTAAGCGCTAGTTAGTGAGTAAGAGTAAGAGTAATAGTAACAGTAAGTAGAAAGCTCAAGTAGCTACTAGCCTCCGGAGCTTCCTTGGAAGAAGCGCTCGCACCATTCATGTGTTGCCTAGATTTTTAGGGAAACTAGTGCACATTAGCGAACTAGTAACAAGAAGCTACTAGGGGCTCCTGGCCTTACTACTAGGAGCAAGGACGCTACTAGGGGCTCCTGGCATCGCTTCTGGGAGGATTCTTACTACTAGTAACAAGAAGCTATTAGGAACAAGTGCATCGCTTCTAGTAACAAGTGCCTTACTAGTAGTAACAAGAAGCTTCTAGGGGCTTCTGTCACTTGTTCAGGTCATGTTGCCCCTGGTGCTTTGCTCAAGGCGGTCAGCTCCTCCTGAAGGATACCGACGTCTTGCAGGTGCAGAGTTGTCTCCTGTTTTGGAATTCTGGCAGAATGCGTTAGGTGAAATGTAGCAAGGTTGCATACTATGGCATGTATTAATAAAGAAGAAGCCTCGCCTCGTTCTTCGACTGTGAGGTGATGCTCGGTGAAGTTTCGAGACACAGCCGTGAGAGCTGGAATTTGGCTCCTTGAGACAGTCCAAAGACATGGTTTGTTACGGTTTGTCAGTTCTGACAGATAGCTCGACGGAGAAGTTCGGACAGTCAATTCGGTTCTACCATTTCGTTTCAGAAACCGCGCGTCGGGTGTTTCTCTCTTCGCCCACAAGGTGGCCGAAGTCTCGACGAAAGAGAAAAAGAGACGAGTCGTCTCGACGTTTGTCTTGCCTTCGCCTTTGTCTCCTTACGTGATTCGTGAGAAACTGTAGAAACAGAAAAGGTGCGAAACTCTTGTTGGAACCGAATTCAATGTTCTGCCAGGACAGCAAATGAATCTCCCAGATGGGGACTGGAATGTGTCAGGAGAGGCAGAATCTTTGTAGCGGCTTGGCATGCTGCGCTTGACAGAGAAAGATCAAACCTTCAGAGCAAATTCTTTTGTGAATGCCATCTATTCTCACCCTTTAGGTGAGTCCAAGTCTTGTTGAGCCAAAAAGAAGGTTGGCCAAAAGACATGACCACTAGAACTAGAAGATCCAAGATTCGCCTTTTGCCGCCAAAAGCTGGGCTCCTCGAAACTACCTCAATACTTTTCCGCCAATTATGACCCCTTTGGCATTGAGGTTGAGCATCTCGGAGGTTCAAGCCATCCTGAGATCATGCGCGGAAAAAGTGCGTTGTTTGCACGCTTTGCTGAAGGGTCATCATGGCTTGGGTGTCCAAGAACGAAGAACCGCTTGCTGCTCGAGTGCAAGACCAGGTTCGACCATGCATTTTACAGGCAGCAAACAGCAGTTGGCTTTAAGCATCCAATGTTTAAGAGTATTCCGCCCAATGCCCCACTACAGCCAACTTAACAAATTGCATCAACAACAACAACAACAACAACAACAACATCAACAGCAGCAACAAGCTTAACGTCAAGTGATTTGCTTTGGGTGTGTACGCTTACCAAGCTGCGGATTCCTGTGCAAATCTATTCCAGCAGCAATGCGTGATACCAAGCGCCATGCTTTCTGCAGAAGCGTCCTTTTCTTCAGCTCCACTGCGTAGCTGCCCTAGCACCATCTGAAATTCTGAATTTGGTAGACAACAAAGGTTTGCAGGAATGCTGCAGGATAACCAGAACTAGCTCGCGAAGACAAGAAGTTCTCACCATGTCCTCTCAACTTGTCAGGCTTCTCCAAGAAACCCAGCAGGTGGATGGAAATACTATGTGGAAAAGACAACAATCAGCGAATAGGAATCGTCGGTTCCTACGAACTTACGCGGTATGTTTTTGCTATTTTTATCCACTCAGACGTGTTCCTTTGCGCCGCCAAGCCACTTCGATCGCCCAAGGCTCCTTTGTGGGCTCGAGGCCCCTTTGACCACAGCGGCCATGGCCCCAGGAAAATAGAGATACAGACTCGAACAAAAGACCTCATAAAACTTGATCATTTCAATGGCAAAGGAAGAACTTAACTTGAAGTTGAATGCTTGGCCAAGTTCGATCAATGCAGGGGAGAACGTGCGTTGTATCGACAAACCACCACAAATCATTGAAATAGGTCGTTTGCTAATCGCCCGTGAACGGTCCGTCCTGAAACACAAATCATTACCACCGAATCACCTGTGAGACGAGCGTCTTGGAGACAAAACTGGGTGTACTGTCTGATCCGTGGCCCAGTGAAGCGGTAAAGGTACCTGCCCAGTCGGATAACCTTTGACCTGTGTAAAAACGAACTGGGAAACTTAGGGAGCCAGGGTAAATGGCCTCCGTCTTTGGTTCCCAATATCAAACATGTGCAGTGATAGCGCACTATTTGTTGAAAACTAAACATGTTTGTATGAGCCAAGTTTCTTTCATAACAACTTCAAGATGGCGCTGAAGTGTTGACAGCATGTGGATTAGAAAGTGATGGGAGCGTATGTTCAAACGATCAAATTAAACTTGTTCTTAACCAGCTCGGACACGTTAAACTGCGGTTTTATTTTTTCGGGCTTGTAGGGAGAGGATTTTTTGATCAAAAGTATGTTTGATCAGCTTCTTGTGACCGGAGCTGCAAGTGTTGTTTCGAGTGCCTCAGTCTGCGAGCGCCGGCAATGAAGCCGTGTTGGCGGGCGCAATGCCTAGAGTGGCCGGCTCAGTGCCAGCCGGCCTGGGCTGGCTTAAACGGCTTAGTTGTGCTGGGTCTCAATGTTTTGTAGAAATGGATGAAATGGTGGAGGACTCCGATCAAGTTCGTTGATCACTTAGTTGGCATCCCGAACTGTCCAAGGTATTTGCTGCTGGACGATACATTGATAGAGCTGGGCTAAGCTTTGAAGGTTAGTCGATGCATCATGATGTATCATGATGTGTCCACGTTCAACTACTGTATGTTTATTATGTGTTTGCTTTTGCTTGTATATCGCTTGCTGAAACCGGACCCGGAGTTGAGGCCGTTCACAACAACATCCAGGCTGGTAGTCGGTGTCACCATAGGGATTGAAGCTTGCTAGATCTTGTGAGACTCCAGGGCGACCTGCACGACTCTGTCTTTGCATCTGCCTTGACTAGAACTAATTGGTTTGGGATGTGAGCTGGTCAATTGCTGCCTTAAGCCTTTAAAGATTTGCCTTCGAATTCGTTCAATGAGAAGTACATGTTTACATGATTTGACGTTTAAAGATTATGATTACACATGTTTACATGTTTACGTAGCATGTATTGATGTGCTTTGATGCACAGCTTGCACCGCATCTAGAGGCCGAATTCGGCCTGACCTCAGTGGCACTTGGCGGATGGAGCGGGCGGAGAACCTTAGTGGTGGCCTTCTTGGTACACACTGCACTCGGCGATACACTTTTTCCAATGTCGTGCCAACTCAAGCGGCTTGTAGGTTTCATGCAAGCCATCGGCTACAACTTTATTTTGGCCAAGGCCAGATGGCACTTCCTTCTCAAATCTCTTGTGATTGCTTGTGATTGCTTCAGCAGCTCCTTTTCCACATGGCGAGTATTAAGTACCATGGGCACAGCATATTGGATAAGGAATCTAAGTCCGTCCTCTCAAGTCTCATCATGTGTCCATTGTTCTGGTGACAAAGGCGGCTTCCTTTGCGCGTGTCACACAGCTGCAGTGGCAGTGGTCAGACAGCAAGTCAATTCGGCAGTAACATTTAAGGTCACTCAGACCATTGAGCAGAAGGAGGACCGACATGCAGAGCTGCTGCCTACTAGTCA